TCACGAACGACGATTTCGCGGGGAATTCTGGAATGTGCAGCTCACCATTGGCGGATCGATCCTCCAATTCCTCTGGAACGGCATAACAACTTCTCAATCAATAATGACCTGAACTCGCCCGCGCCACTCCCTAGGATTTTCCCCTCAGAATCGGGTAGGAACACGAGACTATCTACCGGCGGGCAGCCAGTCGAGATCAGCCTACCTCGAAGTGAAGATGGTGAGAGACAGTGCAAGGTCCCCTCGAGCGACGGATTCGGGTCCATGTCCATGTTACGTTACTCCTTTTTGTGATCTGCTCAATGAGGTATAATCTGCTTTGGACTATCAATACGGGAATGATTGGTGGAGGGGCGAAAAGCTCTACTCTCGTGAAGGGCAGGTGCCTAAACCTAAATGTAGGTGGACAAAGGAAAGTCCAATGGAAATGGAAAGTGTGCCCTGTGTTGTCGAATTTCTCCTTTCCGTCTGCTCAGTCAGTAGCGGACTCTGCCCCAGCACGTCTCTAATGCCCCAGCCCCAGGCACCAGGCACCAGCCTCCCACCTCAAAGCCTCAAAGTCAAAGTACCGAATACCAGCTACATACAATATACAACATACAACCACCTATCGCAGCTACTGGTTGCTTTTTGGTTGTTGACGATCGGCAAGGCAACTACCACGCACACACAATGCACGTACTCAGCTTAGCTAATGGGCTAACGAATCAATATGTTCGAATGAATGACGCGAGACTTGACGCCTGACGTATGAGTTGAGAACTCACCTCCCCCTGTCTTCACGATTCACGACCCAGGTCTCCAGGGTGAATTGCCGAGGTCGAGATGCCGACTTTCGAGTGCCGAGGGGCTGTGTATGCTGTATGCTGTATTCTAGATGTGCCAGTGCGAGCAGAGTCTGCTCAGCAGACTCGACGCGTGCTGTGTGTCGTGTGACTGTGTGATACTCGATAGCCCCGATGGAAGAAAACGACGTTGCTGTCGACGTCGGCGATTACAGTAAAAGCTCGTTACTACGAACACGGAGGGACCGACGACACTGGTTCGTTGTACCGAGTTTTCGCTGTGACGAATGCCGCTCAAAACTTTCCCTATGGCGGGCTGGCCAAAGGAGGAGAAATTCCTTGTTCCTTGTACCGAGAAATTCGTTGTAATGGGGGTCGTTATAACGAGCTTTTACTGTACTACCGTCTAGCGTTATGTTAATGTAGTCATCATTAGCTGATCCTGATGGCCGCACGCCGCACGTTACCACAGCACCACACTACGAACTACGAACCACATGCTCAAAATAAATATATCCTTCATTCATGATTTAAGACGAATGACGACTGACGAACTGACGACTGACGACCCATGATTATTCCCGATTTAGGCACAGACCAACTGACAGCCGACCGAGACGAATTTCGGGAGCCATGCAATTTCCCGACAAATGGAACTCCCTTAATCTTTCACATAGTTAATGGGAATTCGGAGATGGTACATACTACATAGTACATGGTGCGGCACGCGGCACGCGGCACCCATAGTGCCCCGCCGCCCCACCGTCCACCGTCTAGCCGCGAGCCGCGATGAATCGGCATAGGGAATAGGGACATTCTTCCGCATCTCTTTCGGAGGGGAATAACCTACAGCCTACATTACAGTAAAATGGAGCATGGAGCTGGAGCCGCGTGGGAGCGGGGGAATTCCTTCGTCGCAAATCGCGATCCGCAATCATAATTCGCTGCACCAAATGTATTAGACTGGAATCGTTCGTTGTAAAGAGGCCCCGTTAGACGAGCTCCCATGGTACGAGCAATCCACCTGGAACTGGAACCAACCTGGAACAGACTAAGCGAGAGCTGGATGGGAATTCCATTAATATATCTACACCAGCCGTGAGGGCGCTTCGCGCCCTGAATTCTGAACGCGGAATTTATCCCCAGCGACACGAGATCAAACCTCAGTAGGCGCGTGGATCGTGGAAACAGAGCCGAACTAGGTTTAAAAAAAAATAACGGCGGTCGTTGGGGGATAATCGTAACGGACTTTCTGAACGCTTGCTCTGCGTGCGCTTGCTCCGGATGCGCTCGCTCTGAGTGCGCTCGCTCCGGGTGCGCTTCACCACTCACCACTACCCCGCTCCCCCTTTCCCCCTGTTCCTCACTTCCCTGTTCTCCCGATTTTCCGTTCCCTAGACACCCGTTCTCCTGTTTCATTCTATATGGACCCTGGCCTGGAAGGCCTACTAACGGCTACAGCAACTTTCATCGAGGTTTGTTTATTGATAGAAGACACCAGCTCATGATGGCGGCGACCCCTGATAACCTGATTAGGAGCTCTCAAGAATCCACCCCCGAATTTTTATGGTGATCGGTCCTGCCGATTCCCGATCGGTCTTTTCTTTTTTTCCATATGTTTGATTTTGTCAGGGTGGACCACTTGAACAACTTTTTTGAGGTAGGAGAACGCTTCGAATCAGGAAACCAATCCTCTTATGACCTTCTCACAGCTTCCGAGAACCCACCCCTAACTTTTCACGGCGATCGGTTCACGCGTTCGGGAATTTCGCGAATTCCCGATTCTCCACTTTTTTCCAAATTTGTAATTTTTCGTGGGTGGACCTTTCAAATAATTTTTTTTAGGTAGGAGGACCCATCGCTTCTAAAAACCGACCCCTCTATAACCACCAAGGTAACCATAAAGATGGATCCCCCAGAACGCGCTTCCAAAGTCGATCGGTTCGGCCGTTTTCAAGTCTATAGGGTGCCCCGGACATGGGCAGAGAAATAAACAGCAAGAAGAAACTCCCTTAATTTTTTCCAATCAGTCACCCGTCACCCAGATCACAGATGAGGGGTGTACCAGGTCATGAGTTCGACGGGCCACTTTGGGGTGGACTCGATCCCTGGCGGGCGGGCCGTAGAGTGCGCCAGAGAGGATTCCTCCGCCTTTGGAAATTACTCGAGTGACTAGACCTAGACCTAGACGATTGGAGCGAGCCGCAAACCGCGACGCCGCAATGCCGCGAGCTGCCACCAATGTAGCTCCGAGGAAGAGCCCCCGAATCTTGGCCGTACGACAATTCTCAACCTGGAAGATCGATCTGACACTCCGCTCCGACCTCGTCGGGGGCAACAGTCACCTTGCGGGCCACCTTCCGCGTCTTGCGCACCTGAATTGATGTGGACTTTGTGAAGCCGCGATAGGGGGGCCGGCAAGCCAATCTTGCGGGCTGAATGGCAATGGCGATGGTAAAATGACGCATTTCTCTTGTCTATGAATAAGAGGAGAGCAAATTCAGAATGAGCAACCGAGACCCAAGGCAACTTCCGGGCTCTGCGACGCATTACTGTGGAATAGAAAATCAAAATCTCGATCATTCACCCAGCGATATTGCACTTGACCAATCGAAATCTTTCATTACATAGTAGCATCCGTCATTTAACGACCGTTAACGGGGCCGTGATAACGGAGTCGTCAAGCCGATATAACGGCATGAATGTACGGCGTACCCGAGGGAAGATCCGGAGAGCACATCTACGGCCTCATTCCCGATACTGGGGCTCAATTCCCCTAGAAACGCGGTCTTACATGGTAGATCCTCCGTACGAGGACGCGATATCGGCGCCGGCGTGTGACTGATTGTGAGTGATAAACTGAGCTCCCTGTCCCTCTCTCAACATGAGAATTGGGATTTCCGGCCTCGATCGCGAGAAGCTCGCTTCTTGTCGACGAAAAAGATGAGCGGTAAGCGTGATTTTTCGGGGACCATATTAGGCTGAAGCGTGTCGTGGTTGGAAAGAACTCATTATTGTTGACGGCGATCGGACTCATGCAGAGACGAGTTCTTCAAAAACGGTCGAGATCTAGAATCCTACGTGTCGCGAGTTCTCCGGTGGCTGGAAGTGGAGCATCGCACTGTTTGCTCGAAGTCATGAAAGGAGTCGCTTATCACTCAGGTGAACAGAGGCTCTCTCAATCACGATATCTCGAGGGCGGAGGGCGATGACCTCAATGATTCACTTTTTCCGACGTGGATAGTGGATACCCTGGTTCTATCGGGAGACCGATCGATTGATCCTTCCATCGGTGTGCTTGCCGCTCGAATCCGGACCCAACGCGTCAGAGCCTTCGATCGTAGCGTCTGAGAATCGATGGATTTCCGAGAGAATCTTCTGTCACGGAGCGAGGCATATTCTCCCAGGAGAAGCTCTCTGCGGTCAGGCGACTGAGCCGGGAGACGAGATCGTCCCATGCATATTCGTCCCGCTTCACAAGCGAGGCGATGGGCATGATTGAAATCAGTGAACGGATCGCGCCTCTATAATACCCAGATTCCGCCCAGACTTCTGCGGAGCTTCTTTTGCTCCGAAGCCGAGTCTCCAAGCTCCCGCACAGCAAACGACCCTCAGACGCTTCCCCGTCTGACGTGGTTGGAATGATTTATCTAGCTCCACGACACACTTAAGTTCCACGGCCTGGCCACCGATCGGGACATTGCGTCCGTCGCTCTAGCTAGGAATCAAATGAGTTCAGAAAACCTTAAAATTATCACTCTCTCTGGAAGGAGCGATTGGACAGATCGACCAGAGTCTTCGCGCTCAGTTTTTTGTCTCATACACACAAACAGCCCGTCACGATGCGGAGTCTCATTCAGACTGAAAAGCGCGGTATTTGGAATGAGGCAAGGAAGCCCTCATCAACTCCATCACCTTTGCCTCCCCGCCCTTTGCTGAGAGGGATGATCTAGCGATGCCAAATCTGGTTTGTCGCTCTTCGTGACGATCGGACACGTGCGATCGCATACTCTAATGATGGAGAACTTTTTTGGGTAGTCTGGTATTCCTCATGATATTCGGCCGCTTGGAGGTCGGGTGTAGGTAGATGGAGCTTGGTTCCGTGAAAGTCAGGGGGGATCGAAAAGGAGACTTCCTTCCCTCATTAGGGGCACATGACCCCGGACTTCCGCCGAGGGAATGAAGGTAAAAAATGCTTCCCGCGTCCTAGACAAAGAGAAACCCAGCTCAGAGAGGTGCGATGCTCAGTTCCGCACCATCCCTATCAATGCGACAAGGAAGAGACGCGGCTTCAAAAGTAATGCGATATCAAGAGCAAAGTACTCGATCTACACGTTCCTACCAAAGTTCCTATACGAGCAGTTCCGGCGATACGCGAACGTGTTCTTCCTGTTCGTCGCTCTGATGCAAGTGAGTACTTCGGCATCGGCTCCATATTGCGAGACCTTCTAAAAACGACCGTGTTGGGAGTGCTGAATCATTCTGAATACCCCTCATTGTCACTGAACGAGTATCTGTTTCAAGCAAATCCCTGGCGTCTCTCCCACGGGTCGATTCGCAACAGCTGTGCCCCTCGTCATCATCTTGATCGTTTCTGCAATCAGGGAGATTTTCGAAGATTTCAAGCGACATTTAGAAGATCGTGGAGTCAATCGGAGCGAGGTCAAAGCTCTGAGACGCGCAACCAAGGATGGGCCAGCAGTATGGGTTGACATCATGTGGATGAAGGTCGCCGTCGGAGACTTTCTGAAAATCACCTCAGGGAATACTTTCCCCGCAGACATGGTACGTGGCCGGTAGCTTGGTCCTGCCGGCTTGTTGTCGTCGACGAGAGAGCATGATCTCGGCGACAATCGAATCTTCCAGATCTTGCTATCATCGAGCGAACCCGACCGCATGTGCTATGTGGAAACAGCGAATCTCGACGGTGAAACCAACCTGAAAGTCCGGCAGGCACCGAAAGATCTCCCGATCTGGATGGACACTCGAGACCTCGGAGAAGTCAGCGGAGTCGTTAATTGCGAAAAGCCCAATCGACATCTATATGAATTCAGTGGAAATTTCCAATTGGACGACGAATTCACCGAGAGAGCGGTACCTGTCGATAATGATGCCATCCTCTTGCGGGGAGCCACGCTCAAGAATACGAGCTGGGTTTTTGGTTTCGTGATCTACACTGGACACGAGTCAAAACTGATGATGGTGAGTCCGGAAGAATCTCTGCTTTGCTTGAGCACCATATCCGACATTTGGGAGTGTAGATTCGACATCAAAATCTCTGACTTTAATAATCTCTTCCGGGCTTCGCGTCACTTCACCGAGACGAATCGCGCCTGTCGGGAGCTTGATCAGAACTTTTCGTTGCTTCGCAGAACTCGATGGCACCGCCGTTGAAACGATCGACGGTGGATAAATTGACAAATGAGCAGATTATCATGATGTTCATTATTCTCATCACTATATCTCTGATATCGGCGATCGCAGCTGAAATTTGGATCAGGGGAAATGAGTTCCTCTCTTTCATACCGTGGAGGGACGGGACGCCAGTGAACTTCGGTTTCAACTTTCTGACATTCACCATTCTATACAACAATCTCATTCCAATATCGTTACAAGTCACGTTAGAAGGTGTGCGTTACCTTCAAGCTGGCTACATAAATCAAGATATCGAGATGTATCATGAAGCAACCGACACTCCGGCAAAAGCGAGGACCTCCAACCTCAACGAGGAACTCGGAGCGGTCAGATACGTCTTCTCGGACAAAACCGGTACTCTGACCTGCAACGTTATGAAGTTCAAGCGTTGCTCCATCGGTGGTCAGATTTTCGGAGACATTGAAACCGGCATGGATCCGAAGGAGATAGAATCGATTCTCCAGAGAAAGGACCAGCTCTCCGAACAGGTCAGAAGCTTCTTCACCATAATGGCACTATGTCACACGGTGGTGGTCCCGGAGACCGACTCGAGCACAGGCGAACTCGCATACCAAGCGTCGTCTCCGGATGAGGCTGCACTGGTGAAGGGTGCGGCGGAAGTGGGTTTCGTCTTCACCACTCGGAAGCCCGCTGAGTGCACGGTGGAAATTCTCGGCGAAAAGAGCACGTACGAAATTTTGAACGTAATAGATTTCACATCGAGCAGGAAACGAATGAGCATAGTTGTTCGCACGCCCGAGGGTCGCATCATCCTGATGTGCAAAGGAGCCGAGACAATGATCTTCGAGCGATTATCGGATCGCAATGACTCATCGTTGACTGACGCCGTATTGTCCGATCTCGGAATGTTTGCGACGCAAGGACTGCGCACCCTATGTTTCGCCGCGACGGAAGTCGACAGCGAAGCATACGAAACGTGGAGGCACGAATACAACAAGGCAAGCGCAGCCATCTTAAACCGGGAAGAAAAGGTCGCCGTCATAGCCGACCGCATCGAGCAAAACCTGATTCTGTTCGGCGCGTCGGCCATCGAGGACCGTTTACAGGACGGCGTTCCTGAAACTATAGCCGATCTTCTCCGCGCTCACATTAAAGTCTGGGTCCTGACTGGAGACAAGCAGGAGACCGCGATCAACATTGGATACTCCATGCGACTGTTGACGAACGATATCGATTTGGTGCTCATCAATGAGGACACCTTAGAAGCCACTCGGGAGGAAATTCGCAATTGTTTGACGGAACGGAGAGATCCGCTGCGTCACGGACACCCCATCGGCGTGGTGATCGATGGGAAAACGCTTACCCATGCATTGCATGAGGACGTGCTCGCGGATTTCGTGGAACTCTCCCTGGCTGTCAAGTGCCTCATCTGCTGTCGCGTATCGCCCATACAGAAGGCCGAAATCGTAAACATGGTCCGACGGGAAACGGATGCTATAACGCTGGCGATTGGGGATGGAGCGAACGATGTGGCCATGATACAAGCAGCTCATGTCGGCGTTGGTATTTCTGGCATCGAAGGTCTCCAAGCAGCCTGCTCGTCAGACTATTCGATTGCCCAGGTGAGCGCCGAGTTCCCGGTTCCGAATTCAACCATTCCAAGACTTGAACCTCTTTCGGAAGAAAGAGAGCCATCGAATAGAGTCTGGGGAGGCGCGATCGCTCGGGGCCTGGTCGCTCCTGAATGCGCCGCAGCCGTTATTCGTTCCCTCTACCACTCTGAGCCTTTCTCGATCCGTTCCAGTTCCGTTTCCTGCGCCGACTTCTTTTCGTGCACGGTGCCTGGAATAATGCCCGACTCTGCAAATTGATACTGTTCTCGTTCCACAAGAACGTTTGCCTGTACCTAATCGAGATGTGGTTCGCCCTCTACTCGGGATGGTCTGGTCAGACGCTGTTCGAGAGATGGACGATCGCTATGTACAACGTTCTTTTCACGGCACTGCCTCCACTGGCGATCGGATTATTCGACAGAACGTGTAGTGCCGTATCAATGATGGACTTTCCAGAGTTATATCGCCGGGAGCAGCATGAAATTGACTTCAATAAGAAAACCTTCTGGGTTTGGATCGGGAATTCCGTTTATCATTCAGTAAGCTCTGATCTTATCTTCTGCGGATTCGATTACGACCATCCAGGCTGATAATGATCCTCCCAAGTCGAGCCTCCGAGGTTTCCACAAAACCCGCACACTCGAGAAAGGCCGATCATCTTCGAATTGCACGATTCGGAGCTTCAGCTCTCGATAGGCGGATCGCGAGGAACTCCCGGTACCTGCCATTGCGTATTTGAGTCCGACGAAGCCGAGCTCGAGGTCTCTGTTCTCAATGATTGCAGTTGGTGCTGTATTTCCTCTCCATGTTCATGATGACGCAAGACGTTGCTTGGGACAACGGCAAGGATGGAGGCTATCTGATGTTGGGGAACATGTGCTACACCTATGTCGTAATCACAGTTTGTTTCAAAGCTGGTCTTGAAATCAATACGTGGTCATGGCCAGTTTATGCAGCGATATGGGGATCGATTGGTCTATGGTTTTTGGTCCTCCGCATTTATTCGAACCTTTGGCCTTGGTCTCCCATCGGAGCAGAAATGGCTGGAATGGTAGGTTCTGATAATTTCGAGGCGGTATGTTGCGGCGATCGAGTAGCTTTCCTACGAGCTAAAGCGATTCGGCGCGTTTTCCAGGATGTGATGGTATGCTCCTCCACATTGTTTTGGTTCGGCTGTCCTTTCGTTCCCGCCGCAGCATTGTTGCTGGATCTGAGCCTCATAGTGTGAGTGGAGAAACTTTGTCGACTGATTGACCGTCCCGAATAAGATGACACCCGGCTCATGCCTCGAGAAACCTTCAATATTCAGGATCCGTCGGACGACCTGTAAGACTCTGGCGATGGCGATTCGAGAAATCGAAATTCGCGGCCCCGACCCCGTTCCGGACAGTGCCGTTTTCAAATGGTAAATACTGTCTCGAACACCGTCGCTCATCACGCGGCATGCGGCATCCGCCCGAGTCCTCAATTAGATTCAGAAAGATTAAGTTCTTTGGTATCGACAAAATTCAATAGTAGAACGGAGAGCCTGAGGCGGCGGGTCGAGAACTAAAGCTCGGAGACCGCTCACCACTGCTATGTGAGTAGAATATTTTTTGAGCATTCATTATAGGTTGCCATGCGCATCTTGGGTCGCGAACACCACCGATGCTTCGGAAGAGTCAAGCGAAACCGCGACTGAGTCAACCTCAAGCTCTACGGGAATATCCGAGGGCTCTCTCGCGACCTCTGATACTTGAATTTATTGAGTTCTATCGGCTCCGGGGAGATTCCGTAATTCAAGCGCACCCTATGAACGAATTGCAGCATACGATTCGATCAATAAAGCATTGAGTTTCTTCAGAATGATCTTGTCGGTAGAGCCTGAGACCATCGATCGGGAAAAGCACCTGTCGATTCGGAAATCACGATCACGACGAAGTAGGTGGAACGTAACAGATTATCCTTTGGATCGGAGTCTCTTCATAATAAATTTTTGACCAGGTTCTCGCTTCCGAAGCTCAAGCGGGAGCTCCTTTGGGGGCCGCCGGGACGGGGATCGCTCGCCGATCTGTTCTACCCCGATTCCCCGATTTTCGATTCCCCGGTTTTCGATTCCCCGATTCTCGATTCCCCGACTTTCTTGGCCGCTGATTTGGCGGAGTTTTCAAGCGTCAAGAGATATCATCACCGTCGCACAAATGACTGCGCTGATCGGTCTCTCTATATTACATGAATTCGATCCGTGCCATGGACTTGGGTGTCTCCGACCTTTGGAGACATCCTCGACCAACAGGATTTAATTTATTCCTCATCTCAATGGTTTTTAAATTACTCGAATTGTCATGCTATACTCCTGTCACAAAGTCTCCGCTACCGTATCTCATGCCTGCGAGAACAAATTGAAACCCACTCGGTGGACGTATTCGATGAGCGAGATCTCATTGGATTCGAGCTCATTTTCCGTGTTACGCTGTCATCTCCTGATGTTCCTCCTGACAGCTGATTCTCTATCCCGTTCGATCGTCGGTAGCTCCCGCTGGAGAGGGTGTGACGTTCTCGTGAGACGCGCGATGTAAAGCAAGAGTGACCGATCAGCGCGCATCTTCATTTGTGCGTCGGTGATGATATCTCTAGAGGCCGCTCGAAGACTCCTCCGAATCAGCGGCCAAGAAAGTCGGGGAATCAAAAATCGGGAAATCGGAAATCGGGGAATCGAAAATCGGGGATTCGAAAATCGGGGAATCAAAAATCGGGGATTCGGGGGATTACCCCATGAATAACGCCATAAACGAGCCCAATACGAAATAGCTTGGTCGGCAGCCTGGGATTTTCTGCGAGGAGATCCTGCTCGGCCACGATGTCGTCCGCACTCCCGACTGTCATTGTACCACAGCCGGAGCATCGCCCATGATCAGCGACAGCAACCGGTTTCCGCGGGAATTCGCTTTCCCATGTGTAAGTCGAAGGGAAGCCGACCCCCATCGACGTCAAAGTGATTCCCTTGGACCCTCCTTGGAGTCCAGTGCTTTTATGCTCCACTAGCCGGGAGCACATCATGCGTTTCTTTTCGTTGCTTGAGGAGAAGCGTAGGCAAGCAATAGAGATTTAATTTCATTGAGTCTGGACAAAGTTTCATCAAATGGATTGCAAGGAAGGGTTAGCTTCCCTGGAGTATATTTTTCCAGGTTCGAGAAAGGAAAAAGTATGCTTGTGGTTTATAGCGGGGAATAATTCCAAATACAGAAAATATAGAAGCTTGTCTTCAGAGGTGCTAAATCAATGCGTTAAGCCACGGCTCGGCGTTGTTTTTCGAATCTACCTGCTCGGTTCAAAGGGAGTATCCGGGTTGAAATGGAGAGTTTGACGGAAGCCGACACCTCGCAGGCTCTTCACGCCGGCTACGAAGAAGCGGACTGGTTCGCTCGTCTTTGCCAGCTCTATTTTTGGCCACGCAGGAAGCGCCGTATTGGGCAAAAACTCATCGAGAATTTGTTAAATCGTCACGTAGAGGTCAAGTCATTGACAACGATTCCCGTCGGAGAAAAGATACGCGAAAGAGTCATGAGATTGGAGCCGAAAGCAAACGGTACGGGTGGTCGGAAGTTGGTTTCCGTCAGCATCGATTTAGCGGCGATTGTAGGGCCCCTGGGGGAGACCACTTTCAAGAGGAGTGTATGGAATTCGATCAAGAGGTGCAAGGTGTGTGTTCTGTGCACTGGATTAGGATTCATTGGAAACCCGCTCTCCCTCCATCTCAAAATCATACAACTCGAGAGCCAAAAAGTTTATGCAACAGGACGAAGTTTCCTCCACTTATTATCATCATCGAAAGTTCCCTCGAAATGAGCGTGATGATGACATCATAGTGGAGCGGCTCTACATTTCGTGAAAAATAACGATTACTGGAGAAACACGTTTTCGCGGAAAACATGCGGCTAAGCAGTTCGAAAATTATATCTCGACACCACTGGAGCGATTGCGAATCGATCGGGAAAATTTGAGGTCTGTTCGGAGGTGGAGTAAAAATTGGTCCGGCGTCAGAGAGACATAGCGCTTTTATCAAATAGGGGGATACCCGCCTCCAAAGAGAGCTCCCCACCTCGTTGACGAACATGCCAATAGTGCTTCTTCCTTCAAACTCTAGATAGTCAGTCTGTTCGGATATAAAGTGGGCTCGAAGCCACGCAACTCTCTGATGAGCACAGTACTTTCAATAAATTATGTATTTATTCCAAACTCAAAACTCCCCCCTTCCGAAGAAGTCATCTCACTAAATCGTGCCCAAGGGGGCCAGGAATGGCGCGGTTCCAATCTCTTGCGATTATCTTCTGCGCTCTCCTTTCTGCGTGCGTTGCTTCTCTTTCTCTCTCCGCTCGGCTTCTTTCTTCTTTTGATTCTCACGATCCGTTTTGTCTTTTACCTTTCACAGGAGAGAGAGATGAGGCTCTTTAAGATTCCTCGATGGGAAAGCACATCAGGGAGAAGCCCTGCGGCGCATGGGAGTTCCGGAGAATGTAATGACTGGAGACTCATGACAAACTCACTTTCTTGGCTTCGGATTCTTGCTTGCTTCTCTCTCTTTTCAACTTCTCCGCATCCAGAACCTGTTGAGCATTCGTGTTCTTCATGAGCAGGGGGTCTGAACTCGATGGAGGGTTCTTCCGTTTGTCTTTGGGGTTCAATGCCGGAGTCGCGAGCTGACCCGCTGAGGCTTCTGCGGGGACATTACATCATTGTATACTTCTCTGAGGCTTGAGAGCATGGTATGTATCCATTCTGGTTCCGCCTTCGACCGTTCTGTCAACTAAATATTTACAACAAGGCAACGTAGATCTCACTGATTATGTCTTCTTCTGCATTTTCAGCGCTCGCCACTTCAACCTCAGCGTACTGACTCAATATCGAGGATCTCAATTTCTCCCTTTCCTCAGTGCTAGACGCCTGCGGGATAAGACTGTGTGAAAATTGAACTTGGGAGCTGAGCATAGGCCGAAGTTAGCACAGAAGATCGCAATTCCTCCCGCTCCGCTCTGGAATATGTTACTGACTAACCTTCCGCTTATTGGCTGACTCGCTCGCTTTCGCGTTTTGCTTTGAAAAAATCGTTCGCACTTTGTCTTCGAAAGTACCTTCTTGACCGTCCTCGGTGGCTGCGTCCAGAGCTTGTGAAGTTCCGATCGAGCTTTCGAGACCTTCGAGGAGCAGACTTATATCGTCAGAGAGAATGACATCATTCAGCGGTCTTCTCGAATCGAGCGTATGGGCTGAAGGTCCTACCGCCCACCCACCGTCTCCATCGTACTTTCCTACAGATGCTCCCCTGATATACAGACCGCTTTCTGATACAAGCCATCCAGGAACGGATTTCAGAAAGATGAAAGCCTCTCTTTTTTAAAAGCCTCCTCTCGGTTCAAAGCCTCTCCGGGCTGACCTCGGAGCGTGGAATCGGTGAAGCCTGTCTCCAGCCGGAGCCCCCGTAGAACAGCAGTCGCTGTCACATGAGCTCGTTCTCTATTGAGCATCGGAGACACCTATGTGCACGTGGGCAATGCGCATGCCTCCGCTGGTTGAGAGACTGACACGAATCGAGCTCCTCGGCCAGGGGAGGGGGTTTTTCGGAAGCCGGTCTCCTCCGCGAGATCAGACGTCAAAGAATGAGAAGCTCCCGCAATCGTGAGCCACTCTCAATCTTAGGCCCTCGCTCGATTAAATTCCTCGAGGGCTACCATCGGCGGGAATACGATTTCTAAGGCACGTCATTCTGGTAGAGCTACCCCGTAGTTTCTTGCATTTTTGTGGAGCCTTCAAGAATACCTGATTGTTCGTTGTACATGCGGATAATCTCCTGCGTGACTCCAGCTATGTCAACGCTCTCCGTGGAGGCACTCTCGAGTATGTCTGAAAGAAAGATACTCGCATTCTGTCGATTCGGGCAGTGGACTTCTCGAATCACGGCGCCAGGGAACGCGTCTCATGTCCTCCGGAGATTACCTTGGATCGACTCAGTTTTCTCATCGTGTTTCTCATCTCCTTCAAGGATCCCTTGTATGTAGCTGCTGAAGACTTCGGAGTCGACTCTCAGAGCATCCAGTCGATCGCTCAACCAGCATTCGAAATTAGACATTTTCTGCTCCTTCGGAGGGCGACTAGCAGCCCGCTCCCTGACGTAATGGACAAGGTTTCGAGTTCCTACCGCCCTTATGAGCCCTTTCAGAAGGAAATCCCCACCACCGAGCCTTCATGTATATCGTCCGTCGCTTGTTTTTTTTCGGTAGGTGGTCTCTTCCTCCGGCACGGGGGTCGCCATATTGGCAAATGGCGGTCGAAGTCGAGCTCGGCGCAGTTTTTGAAACTCCAGAGTTGTAACATGTAGACATGTACATACATGTATGTAGTTCTATCTCCCGAAGATAAACTCCAAGGATGCTCGGGTGGGAAGGCCCGAACGGGCTCTGCTTCCCTCGGGAATTGAAACGATCAGAGTCTCCCATACTTCTCAGCGCATAGTAACATGAGAGCCATCGTTTTCGATGATGTTCACGGACAGTCAGCAACTCCACTTATTCAACATATCGAGGAGTGCGCTGCATGACGCAATATCGCTAAGTGACTGGAATATGCTCCTAATATCGAAAGGCAGCGACACTTTGTCGAACGTAGCGATGCTGGAAGAATGGATATTCGCGCCTGCTCCGTTAAGGAATTTTAGTGACGACTTGATTTTTCCAAAGAGATCTTTGGGTACTGGTCAGCCTAGACTCATTGGTCTCTCACCGATGCGATCGTTCCCTCTCCAGAACTCCCGCGCCCACTCATCCCGAGCTCTCAAAGAGTTCGGTGTGCGAAAATGAAGCGCCTACTTCATTGATTGAAGAATATGATCGATGTTGTTGAGGCGGCGCTACGGGAAGGTCGGATCCACTCGGTCATTGAATAAAGCTCGATGCTTTTTGCATCTGATCATGAATTTGCTTTCCGGGGAGCTTGAAGCTGAAAGTCTAAATATAGCGGGCTGTGCTGTCACAAGCCGTGATCATATCTTTACTCGATGGGTGTATTCGAAAACACTTAGAAAGAGAAATGGATCATCTCAAACGATCTAAATTGGATGTATTGGTCGTGGTAGTATCATCATTCCTAGTCAATAATTTTGGAAACGTCTGTGGGTCTTTCTGGTCAAGCGGGTTCCCAGCTTCAGGAGACCAAGGAAGAGGAGCGGGAAAACTTGGAAAATAGGAGAAGGGATACCGAGCGACGGAGAGAGAACGGGGAGCGGGAAACTAGAAGTGCAGGGAAAAAGCGGGTTCACTAGAAATGAGCAAACGGGAAGGACACGGAGAAGGCGGGAAGGGAATACGGGAGAGGATTATTTCCTCGGCTCATTGTATGTACTACGTATGCTATGAAGAGGCACTTGATGGGAAAGCAGACGCATGCAGCAGCAGGTGCGACACCCACGATCGCCGTAGAGCGCCGAGCAGGACACTGGTATGGGAGACGAGCGGGGAAGCGGAAGGCAGAGAAGGGGAAAAGAGGAAGCCAGGGGGGCGGAGGAACGGGAAAATTGAAGCAGGAAAGTGGGGAACTGGGAAAAAGAAGAACCGGGGGTAACAGGAATTTCGGAAGGACAGGGGAGCCAGGAAGCAGGGAATGGAGAACGGGACTTGGGAGATAGGGGCAGCGGAGAACAGGTGGAACGGGAAAAGATGAAATCGGGAAATAGGGGAACGGTGGAAATGGAAAAACGAGAGAGTGTGGGGCCTGTGGAATCAGGGGATTGGGGAAACAGGAGCCGGAGTATAGGAATCCGGCTCGAGGGGAAATTGGAGAGTGCAGGAACAAGAAACCGGTAAGCGGGAAAAGGGATGAGGGTGAAGCTGGGTAACGGGGAAACGGGAGACTAAGGACGACGGGGCGAAGAAGGGAGAACGGGAGACTGAGGACGACGGGGTGAAGGAGGGAGAACGGGGAATGATTATCGAAACGAGGGAAGAGAAACTCACTGAGGCTACAGTGAGCGCGAGCTGATTCTCAGCGAGCGCACTCATAGCGAGCGCATGGGCTGGTGAGAGCCCAGCGCTCTCAAGTCGTCGCCAAGAAGCGACGGGGGACGCTATACATGATGGAATGCGAGCTTCTCTTTAGCATAGACGATAGACTCACGACATGACCCCATAACATGACCTAAAACGGCAGCAGCCCAGACGTCGACGGCGGCTCAGACGTATGCATGACTCCCCGCAGTGCATTCTTCGAGTTTGTACATGCGGTCGACGTCGACGAGATCGGGAGAGGCGTAGTCACAAATCACTTTCAAAACCGGCATCGTCTCTCAGCGCTCAACTGTCTATCTGAAACCTCCTCGGCCGGCAAGGACACTACATCCTCTCACATGCAGCTCCAATCGGCCTGACTCGTCAGCATCTCGGAATTTTCTCATGGAATCGCACTCTGTGGGACAGGAAGCGGGAGGAACGGCTCGAAAACCCTCCGGAGCCAAGTCAGTTCTGCATAGGTAAATCGGTGGCACGCGAGCATTCTTCAGCTGTCTCGTGGACGGGTCCGCGAAAGTCAGAGTGGAGCTCCCCGAAGCCGTGATCAAGAAGGATTCAGCTCCATTCAGTCTGATCGCAGCCCACGGAAGCAGGGAAAGCGAAGCGGGGAAAATGGTAGCGGTCGCCGCGTTGCGCGCGAATCTCCGGCAGAGATCATCGGCATCATTTTCTTCACTCCCTCGTCGACAGGTTCAATTTTCTCTGAACCTCGTCTCGCGGGCCTTCTGCATTCCTTCCCCCGAAAGCATTCATGCCTCAAACTTGACTGTATTCCGACCAAGAAAAAACATACAGAAACAATGGTGTGTACACCCTCACGGGCCCAACTTTCGGTCTGGCATGACCTTTCCATCTGAGCAGTGTGGACAGTGAGGGCTGTCTGCAGTCTTCTGATTGGCCGAGGTACGACCAATCGCAAGCCTCCATATCTTACCTGCAAGACGATCAGTGTTGCCGACTCTTCGAAAGACACCAAGTTGTGGTACTCATAACCTCAGAAGCCTCTTCCGTGGTTCGATAGGTCGATTGAGTTTTCGCTCAGAAATGACGGTTCGCGCGACCCGGGGTGCGGAGTGTGCCCACGTCATGTCTGAGAACGATTTCGTAGAAGCGAAATGTCGAAATTATGCTCGAGCGCTCACAACTGGCTCAATGGACGGAAGCAAGAGACCCGGCTGCCCTCTGAGGGAGACAGAACTGAAATGAGCGTCCCCTCTGGACGCTCGATACAAACTCCGTATACATGGAAGAAGTCGAGGGAAATCTTCCGAGTGAAATAGTCTCGATCTCCCAAGAGACCCCATGCGTCGGAATGGCCCTGAAGAGGTATCTGGGATCAAGCTTTGAAGTAGAGCTCCTCGAAGCTGCTCTCTCCGCGCCTGACTCTCGCCCAACCCCGGTGCTGAAGATTTATCCAGCCATTGGGTTCTTGCAAATTCCCGAGCATTTGGTATATTTACCGCGCTCGACGGTTCCGAGTTGGTACCACATTGTGATCCGAATGGCCAGACTTTGGCTGTGACCACGTGGTACGCTCTGGCTGCGGACACTCTCGTAGGGTCTACCTCGGTGAGTGAGATTCCCATATTGCCATATCGCTGAACGGCGTAGCGAGTAGTCGCCGTGAGAAGGTAACGAGTTTCTCCGGAAACGAATCTGATCAAACGACAACCAGAACTGAGCTCTCTATCTGTTGCCGAAGGAACCTTGCGGAGAGTTGCCTAGAATCACTGCTCCTTTTGGTGTTCTTTCCCTTGATTCTTTGACCCCGCTCTATATGCGAGCGGCTTCATACACTACTCCCTCAAGGGGCGACAGCACATTCCGTGCTTCGGGAACCACTTCGGGAGAGTTTTAGAGCTCGGAGAGCGCCTCGCAGACCCAATTCCATATTCCATCGTTGTCATCAGCTTGACAGAAGTTTGGGTTGCTACCTCGACCGCTAGCGCTGCTCCTCCTGCTTCTTGTTGGATAATAGCGGCGCGCGTCAACCGCAGTCGTTGGATGCCGTGACGTCACCGGTGTTGTTGCTGTTGTGATCTGACGCTCAAGGCGCTCAGTGCTTGTGGTGTGTTGATAAGAAAATTGTCGAATTTCAAAGAGATCGTCCCAGTCCCCATTCCACCATGGCGGAATACTGAGGGCCGAAGGGTCAGAGTTCGGAGCACGTTCGAGGTCAGAGATTCGCATACGACTTGTGACAGCATCAAGCTATCCCTGAAGCAACCATATGATCGAGACCGTGTCATTAGGCCGCAAGATCCGCGTCGAAAGGCTCGGCCCCATTTACGGCCTGCTGAGAGGCTTCAACCATATTTAGCACATCACTTCCGCCTTCACTCGTAGAAGTGCATATTCTTTGGCTCATTGGGTACAACTGATGCGGTCCCGTTCACTAGACGCTCCGTAAGGGCGTGTTCCTGCCGAGGATAGTCCGGATAATCACGCTCTCGAAATTCTCCCGATCGGATTCGGAGGCTCTTCGAGGCGGTTCGGCGCAGCCCACAACGAAGCGTTGGGTTAGTTACTTTCATCGGCATGGATGATTGACGTCTACCCCTTTCAGGCGTGTGGAGTTGTTGAGGGAGGACAGGCAGGCAGGCGGAGGAGCAGGTGTTGGAGAGGAGTTGCCTGCGGCAGGAGTGGCAGCACCTGAAATCACCGTCGGTGAATAAAAGCCGCAAGTAGAAGAAGAACACGAGCGAGCCAGCGAAGGAGAGAATACACGCGAAGAACGGCATAAAAATATCCATACATTCAGTATGAGCAGCGGAAGCGAATGCTATAGGTGCCATCGCACGGGCCATTTCGCCCGCGAATGCTCGCTGCCCGATGACGGCGAACGTAGAGGACCCCGAGGAGGTGGTCGAGGCGGACGCGGCGGCGGCAGAGGAGGTTTTCGTGGCGGGTTCCGCGAAAAGTGCTACAAATGCAACCGGCTAGGACACTTCGCGAGGGACTGCAAGGAAACCGAAGACCGCTGCTACCGTTGCAACGGAACTGGACACATTGCAAAGGATTGCCAACAAGGTGAGGAGATTTATATGAGTTCGGGTGCATTAACCCATTTTCTTGCCTCGAGCTCGACCTTCCCGCCTAGGAGAACGCACTCCAGATGGATACGACTCAAAGCAAGCTCTACTTCGATCAGATTTTAAAGCTCTAATGTTCACCCAGGAATCTCTCTCTTCCAACAGGCGAAATGTCGTGTTACAACTGCGGCAAGACTGGGCACATCGCTCGCGAATGTCCTGAAGTAGACAAGAGCTGCTACCGCTGCGGAAAACCAGGTCACATCTTTAGGGATTGCCCTGAAGAAGGCCAGAACCGCAACCAATCTGAGGTGAGTCGCGACGCCTTCCCCAGGTCATAGGCGCTAGTCAATAGTGCCGCTTAGACCCGCTGTACTGAAACACCGCCCATTTACGCTAAGCGCATTTGGAAATCACTCGTTCCCGATCTAAATGCCACCCTTGGAATTTGAGTTCGCTCTGAACCTTTCCTGGATCCGGTCAATCAAGAGATGAGCGTTCCTGGAAAGCGAAGCGAGTCCCTCGGAAAGCGCTGAGGAGATCCGACCGAGTGGCGGGGGAAGCTCCCAGTCGATCAATGCTGTCATAAGTCCGCTCGTTTCTACCTAACGTCAGCTCATTGAAGTCGTTGCTCTGAAAGTGAACTTTTGTTGGCTCTGACGCTGATGAATCTGAGTCTTGCTCAATCACTGCGTACTGTGACGCTGATCTTGAATCGTCCGTGTCGAGTTTGGAGGTGGACAGAGGGAATTCCCACTGAGAGGAAGCCAGCGCCGAGTCTAAGCGTTTCCGGGAAGCGAGCTCGAAAATTTCATCTGTACATGTTCGCCAACCTTTGTCCGGGATATCCCGAGAGCTGAAGATGGAACATTAATTCGAACTTGGTCACCGGTCACCATTTACGCTGACGCCACGCATCCTGAGCTAGTCAAGCAGCGCATCGGGCTGAAATCGGAAGTTCCCCCCCGAAGACAAGGGAGATCATTTCTCGTAATGAACGAGCCATCGGGCGAACGCTTCCAGCATCCGAGATCTCTAACCCGCCTGAACTCAGGAGATTATTGTTACCCTTTGGAATCACGGAAGGAACACTCCTAGCAGTTCCGTCTAGACCATAACATGATACGCGGAGCGGGGATCCGAGATCCCGAATCCACGACATTCTGAATTACCGATTCATTCGGGACTTTCTTTCGCCGAGCTCTCGAATATTCTAATCGAGCATCCGCGGCTGAGATCATGCTTCCGCTTCTCTCCACGGAGCGTCTCCTTTGATCTCGGGACTTTCATGTATCGTATTCTATTCTTCGGGGAACTTAATTCAGCTCTAGTTTTCTTCGTGAGCCAGACTTTTCACTCAGTCCATCGGGGCACCGGCTTGACCGTGACACCATGCCTGCGAGGTTGCACGGTCTATAACCCACCCTCTCGAGAGTTTTGATTGTTGCATATCCTCGCAAAGATCATCATTATCTTGGCCATATCATCATTATCTGTGTGAGATTATTGGAAATTAATTTGTTTCGTTTCTTTTTGTTTTTTAGAGTCACGAATAAAACGAATCACCGCGTCCGAGGAGAAGGAGGAAGACCGGAGTCAACAGCATACTCATACACCCCCTCTCTCCTCATTCGAACACAACAAGCAATCTTTTATTCGAGAATTCAAGCAATCAGCCAACCAGCGAGTGATTCGAGATTCAATCAATCTGGCTAACGGTGAAGCGATCGGTCATTGAGATATTGTTTTATCGATCAACAACCATTCAGCACAGACAATTTGACAACTTGAGAGAAGGTACCGAGAATCGAGGAGGCTGCTCCGAGCAACAGGCTTCGACTTTTCCGGCGAGCTCGCTCGTCTCCCTTTCTGCTGCCTGCCGCTGAGAATTCAACTCCATCGGAGTTTTTCCTTCCTTGTCGCTCATTGTTACTGTGAACAATCTCACAGGAGGGGGGGGGGGTAACGCGGACATCTTCGGAGATGTTACTCAGAGGTAATCTATGATTTCACGGAGATTTGAGAGGATACAGAATTTCGCCTATTGGAGGCTCCGGTCCGCGACCCCCCTCCCTGCAAACGACGGAGCTTATCCAGCCTTGAGCCGTGGAGTGGGCGGGCAGACGAGGAGGTAGGCAGCAAGCAGCGAGCACGCCGGATAAGTACCGAGCAGGATAACAAGCATCGGAACGGCTTGTTACTTGTTTTAGCAGCTGCATATTATATATTATGGACCTAATATATATAAATACATATACTACTATATTCGAGAAAATGAATGCTTGAGCTGTGAGTCAGTGCGGCAAATACTGGAAGTCGGGAAACTCATTCTGTAAACCTGGCGAACATACATGTATCCGCATTCGGAAATTGAAGCAGCGAAATCTGAGTGATCCCGGCGTGGGAAGACTCAGACGTCGCGCCGTACCTTCGGTGCTCGTCCATCGCACTCAAGGCCGTACGACAGCTTTTTTCGGATCCGAATTCTGAACGACTGACAGAGTTGGGGACTGAATTCCTCGAGTCGGAATTTTTTTGATCTCCCCTTATTCACCTCACGACTCCCCGCTCTGCTGAGTTCGCAAATCCGTAAGCTGCTCCGATGATCACCGTGAAGGGTTGAAGAATTCCGATGAGATCCAAGATGAAATTGCAAAAGCTCCTGATATCGGTTCGTGTTCAACTGGACAGTCAGGACTGAGGGAGATATTTCCGAGATTCGGAAGTCTACTCCGCCGTACAGTGTGCTGCACGGTATAAGTGCAGCAGCGACTTTGTCAAATCAAGCAGTCGAGTCGAACAGCTATATGACCTCTCACTCTCGGAGCGATGCTTAAGATCGCGAGCGGCCGAGCCCTCCAGCCGATTGGAAAGTTGCGACCCTACACTGACGCCAGTCGCAAGTGAGAACGTAGTGCACGATCCGAATCTTATAGCGATCTTGAATTCTCAATGAGGTTATTGATATGCATCTTCAGATCAGCGGCTTCAATCAGCTCCGAGATCCGAACTCATTCCGGAGCGAGCACTTCCTCAAACAATGTCGTTCGCCTGCGATACTAACATTATTGCATTGTTACTTGTTTTCTCAGTATAGACCTCAATCGGTAGTCGCTATTGACATGAGACACATATTCGAGTCCCTGGGGCTGCTGTTTGTTTGTCGCGCTTGTTGGAGAAGGTCTTGGTGGGGTTAAATTCAGCTGTAGTCGGAGCGAACGCAATAGCATTAGTTACAAAGGAAACTGAGCTGGCGACTTACTTAGACGAATTTAAACCAACCGACAATGGAATTTATTCTACCGACGACGATGCCGATGTTTACGACTCAGATAGCTGTGGTGGTGGAGGCGCTGTCAGTCCATGATGTTATCTATCTTCTAGCATCCCCCTGTTGATAAAAGTTCTTTGAGACGACACACCTCCTGACAATTAATATGATTATTGCCACTATGATGGTGGCCCCGAAAAATACCCAAATCCAATAAAGAGTTCGTTAAGATCCGAGACCTGCTCCACTATTCGTTTTCTTCAAATCTAATGTGGAGCTTCAGCCGCATGATACGATCGCCGTCAGATTTCCTTCTGGAGTTCTTCCTTGAGATACTCCAATCACATGTGCGGATCCATGCTGCAGTCGGCAAGAAGATGCTGATGGCAGTTGATTTGAAGCTCCCGTATCAAGGCTCGACGTCGCGACGACTCAACGAGGTAGAGTGGGTTCCCGTCGTCTTCCTTGGGTGAGGATGGCGCTGGAGTGGATCTCGCCCCTCCCCGGCGTTCCACGCCCGAATCGTAGCCCTCCCCCAGGATTTCAACTAGGAATTCTAGTTTGAAAAGGAGCTAATCTTGAAGATTCCATTTATTTTGCTGACTCGCCCGAAAACGGGGACTGCCTCCTCTTCCCCCGAAGAGCGCTTCCGAATATGGATAATTGGATGGGGCTTGGATAATTCGTCTCGCCATCAGGTTCGGATCGTTCGCCGGGAAACCAGGAACTCGGGTTAGCGGGTCCCCCACATTTTCCGTCATTTGCTCCCTCGGATAATATGTATGTCACTCGAACAAAATGGAGCAATAATCAATTATTATTTCAGAGTTTTACTCGCTCTTGATAGTCGAACTTTCGCGGAATTATAGCAAGCTGTGCATTCAGTGAAGCATCCATTCTTCTTGGGGACGATTCCGAATATCCTCATGAGGGACGTTCGTTGTGCGAGCTGTTACTGATGCGGAGCCCCATTCCTATATTCCCGAGACAACGCGCAATCTTTCCGTCTTTCGAAACCCTCGGATCGGATTCTTCCCTACCCCAACTCTCCCTGCGAGAAAAAGCTTCGCGAATGTCTGCCTCCATGAAGTCTCCAACGCCTGCTCCGAGCCTCTCGGAAATGACCGAGGCATGGACCGTCGCGTACGGCTAACCTAGAGGTTCCGATGCGAGAGTCGGTCAAGTTGAAGTCGGTGACAGTCTAATCTTCCGGCAGAATCTGACTTTCCAGATGCTTCGGGGGCGTCCGGCCCCTGATCGTTTCCTGAGCGCCGTACAGTGATTCGTTGAGTCAGATCTCTCCGTGTGCGATTTGTGGCTCATCATTGATCAAAACCCTTCCAGAGCATGAAACTCCGCGTCGGCGGGTCAATGAATCGTAGTGGTCAAAAATGTTACACTTGCGGACGATTCGGACACTTCTCCCGGGAATGTCCGCTAGACCGGAGATGCTACGTGTGTGGTCAGGGCGGCCACATTTCACGAGAATGTCAAGGCGAGGGCCAGAACGACCTCTGCTACGCAAGGTAGGCATTGAAGTTTTCAACTTGACTATTCTGCATGCCTCGTCCCAAAAGTCTCGGCTTCGGTGCTCGCTCTAACCCACTCCCATCTTCTTGAATTCCCAGACCATCTCATTTCTGAATGTCGTCGTCGCTGGACCATCCGGCTCGTTCAAGCTCTCATCTATCCGCTCGAACTCCTTCCCGGACCAGCACCTGAGGCTGTCGAGAGATTTGTGTGGATCAAGATCATTGAGCAGATGACGAAACTTTGTATACCAGGGAGATTGGAACGACAGGAATGAGACCAGGGAGACTCCGGCTCGCGCATCAGCTCCTCGCCTCGCATCCAAACACAACGAGGGGGGAATCGGATTCTACCCGATCTCGACTTGTTGTTGTTTTATCATCTTCTAGAGATGTCTCTTATCTTGTTCTCTCGCTATGAAGTTTATCCATGTTATCATACATCCTTGTTATTCGACGTCGGGTATTTGGGCTCCGGTAAGGAGAGTCATGACCTGGAACCACGTGGTAATAGTTTATGCTGACTGAGTGTTATTGTTCTTCCGGAAAATGTTATCGTCGATACCACGGGTTTGTCTCACCATGCGGAGACATGAACAGTTCGAGGGACAATCCTCTTCATTTGGAAACTATTCCGTTGTCAGCATTCCACTCGTCAACCCGATGTTCTGTGCCGATTCCGATTTTGCGATGAGGCGGAAGGGGGTACTTCCGCATTTTTGGAGAGACAGGCTTTGATTACGAGTGTTAGAGAACATGTCTCTGGTGTTCATTGTGCTCCAAGGGCTATCACCGTTGCATCTTGTGCTCAACGCTAGAGACATTCTCATCGTCCCCCTTGAACTCAACGAAATCACGAGGGATTCCACGAGGAAGTTTACTCGAGACTGAACTTGAGGATTGAGTGCAACAGAGACTCTCACGTCGGCTAATCGGTCCGCGAACTCCGAGCTGATCTAAGATTTTTATGCTGGCTGAGACTCTGATTTTCCCCGATATAAAATCAATCAGTTTCTGCGAAGGTACTGCGGGAAATAGCAGAGAGTCGTTTGTCTTGTCTAACGTCATGATATCGTGAATATAACTGCATGTAACTTCAATGGTGGACCCTCTGTCCCCTCGCTCCTATGACTGTGACAGAAAACTGATCCGTGAAGATGGACCATCTGGATTTATTAAAACCAGTTTTCCCCTCCATCCGAACGGTATCCTGAATCTTGGCCATTCAAGAGTGAGTTGTCATTCGAAAGAGCTGTGGGGATCACCTCTTGCAGCTACGCTTATCTGTCCCCAGTGGTGTAACTAGGGAAGTTAGCGCCCGGGGCGGTGATCCGAGATGGCGCCCCCTTGCCTATCGAAAGTTGTCTTAGCTCATTCAAGAGGCATGAAATTCGATTCACGTGAAGGTCAGGCTTAAGACAAGGTCCTTTACTTCTTGCTCAAAATAATTGATGATGGGTCCACTTAAGGCTCACTTATGATCTTGAAAACGACAAATGATCTTTCAGAATCGCTTCAGAGAGCGGAGTTCATCCCCGATGGGAACGAGTCTAAACTAACGTGGAGAACCCTCACTCACATTACGTTTAAGCTACACAAGGCGGAGATGGAAAGGAAGAGACCGAACAAACTCAGAAGTTGTTTGGACACTGTTTATTTTCGAGGAAACTGTTCGAATCGGGAAGGGCAAGGGTGTCGATTCGTCCCCTCCGACACGTGACCAGCAAGTGTTTTCCTCGCATACGTCAAACATCTCACTTACGAGTCGCAAACCTTGCAACTCTAGCTGACACCTGAGGACATCTCCCGGAAATCGCGCTCCCATCTCCTACCGAAAATGGCGCCCCCAGAACCGGCCCGGAATGTGGTGCATGGGGCGGTCGGCCCCCGCTCCCCCCGGCTCTCCCCCCAGTAACGCCGCTGCCTGTCCCGAAACACATAGCTATGGAAGGACCGCCAATAGATTGACTTATTTTTTCCATGTCTGTAGCGGGACTATTCATTTGCTCATCCCAATCACAGTAGAGCCTCGTTGTCGACGGACCCGAATGTGGCGGAAACTCTTTCATAAGGAACTCTGATCTTAGTCCCGGCCAGGCCTATCGCATCTCCTTTACTAACCGACTGGGCTTCGGCGGACCCGATAATGGACTTCCGGAAAAAATAGTTGGATTCCTCTATCCTGGTCCTGCCCCCTCCCTTGCTGATCGAATCGGTCATAACTACATAACGAACCTATTCTTGCGAGTCGTGAGGTTGGAGGCGATAGCCTATCGAGTGACTCGCGAGGCTCCTCGCACGTTTGCACGTCGTAATGACGGCCGCAGCGATGTTTCCGAGGTTTGCCGCGCACCATTCTGACTCCGGAGCGATTTCCGGACACAACGAGCTTCAGAGGCGACGGAGCTTTTCGACAGGTCCCTTAGAGGCTTGGGGTTCCTCACGAGGAGCTTCCCCTTACTTCGACCCCGATGGTCGGAGGAACGAGTCGTTTGCAAACGAGCACAAGCCACTGGAACTCCGGAAACGAAGCTAGAATACGAAGAAAAAAAAACGCGAATTCTGGATTTCTCGAGAGATTAAGAGAGAGTGCTCGCTAGCGTGAAGGTGCTCCGTTTGCGAGGCTCCAGGACATAATTTCGGTGAAACTTCTCTCGGGTCTTCCGCATTCAGGACTACACTGAATTGGCCGTACCGGACACTTCGGTAGGAACAATCGCCTTCGAATTCGAAAGCAAGGATTTCTGAATAAGAGAGAGGGGGCGGTTCGAGGTGGAGTCTATTGAGCTTGACTTCGTTTAGCGTGCGCTAACCTTGTCCCTAGATGATATCATGACGGAATCTCGTCTGCTGAAAGCCAAATCCTTTTCTCTGTCGTACGAAAGGCACCCTCTAGCCCTGACCTCCTGAGTAAGTGATCGAAAAGTTCCGTATTGGATAGCGAAATCCGTTTTTCGGGGGGCGAGAGGTCTCCAAGCGACCCACGAAACTGGGAGGATCGTTCTGAAGTGGTTCTTATCCGGAAAAACTAGCACCCAAATTATACACGAAGCATGTACTCATATTGGTATACACAAATCTATGGTCGGGACCTACTGAGGAGGACGGAGTGTGGGAAACTCCTCATGAGATCAGGGGGCCATATCTATTCTGGTCGCCCTGAACTTCAGAGGGTTAGCGGATAGCCGAGCAGATCGGTAACTCATAGAGGTGAACGTCGTCAGGTCGACTCCGTTCTTAGTTAGACACGACATCGCGATTCACTAGATTCAATCACAACCTTGGGCCAGTAGGGTAGCCAGGGTATTCAACGGGAAAGGCGGTCATTGTTTTTTCTGGAGGTGGACTAAGGACTCCGCGTACTTCTCCAAAAAGGGGAGTATGGGGGGATTCGCTGACACGGAAGAGGGGACACGGCCCGATCGCCCCCCCTCTCCTTTATCCGCCACTGCCTTGGGCCACGGGTCCGATTGAGTTCCACGCGTTCTGGAGCTCATCCAGAGTAGTACATTGAGTTTTTCGAGATGTAAGCTCCCGCTAGGAGTCGATCTGAAGATCTCTCTTCTCAATGGTCGAGCTCCTTGGTGACTCATCTGAAGGAACGGAATGCGGTAAAAACTCGCGACGCTCTCCGGTGACCGATTCTCGTGAATTTCGAGCACAGGAGCGGCGCATTGAAGGGGCGTGTTGAAATCTATGGTTTTGCTTGCGGAGAAATAAAACACTCAGAGGCCAGCTCCCCTGCTGAATTATACTTAGGGGCTGATTCCAAGCCGCTCTATTGACGGAATCGGAGGAAAACTCGAGAGAGGGGGAAGCCTAGGGGCCTGGGGCCTGATCATGAGACCTCGAACTCCGAACTAATTAATAATCTTCGCGCGGCGAACTTCCGGAGCTGGCATCAAGTTGCCTAGATGGGCTCTCGGCAGCGAGTTGTCCGGCTTTTCGAAGTCGGCGTAGAGTCGCAGGCTCTAGTCCATCTGGCGTTGAGTTATCAGTCATCGTGTACCGCTGCCAAGAATACGGACCGCATGGAAGATGCACGTACTTTCACGTACTTCCGGCAGAGCTTGGGGCGCTCCGATGACGTGAATTCTCTGAAGAATATGATGATTCCCATGATTCCCAGGGCTCGAAGGTGGTCCAGGTCTCCCCGACCGGTTCCCGCGAGTCGCGCGACTTTCTTGAGAGCGGGGATTCACGGATTTCGCTAGCATGTCTTCCAGCACCAACTCACGCATGACGATTCACATTGTCAGGAGAGTTCTTAGTCTCGACCCCCGACGCTTGCTCACGATCTGGCTTTCAAGGGAAATTCGGCACGGTTCCATCATCGTTGTGGCTCGGAGCCGCTTCCGCAGCGATTTCGAATTTCAGCGCCACAAGCCGAACGACGATGCGTTCATTGAGGTGCCGGCTCACCGTTGACGTGTCTGCCGCCTCAGCATCCACATTGTCCATCGGAACGTAGTTGGTCACTGCGGCGGCAGAACCAGTGCGGAACACGAACAGCTACGACTAGTCGCTCACTGTCTCACTTGGGGCCAAACTCTACTTTAGCTTTACAGTAAGTACTGAGTTCTCGCTCTCGCTGAGGAGAGGCTCCAGATCGCCGCAGGCGGCAAGTGTGCCATCGGGACAGATGTTCCACTTTTTCCGCTCGGCTTAATCTTTGACATATGGTCTATGCTGCTGGAATCCGTAGATTAGTAGATAGAGAATCATTCCTATCGGAGTCCTTCCTGATGCGAAATATTGTACGGCAAGCCGATTTCCGTACTTGGTGCTCAGATAGAAGACACCACTTTCATTGAGCTTGGAGAATCTTCGAATCGGAAGTCGTAATGCGATGCGGATTGATTGTCGTCGAGAGATAGCTCCGGATGCCCCATTGTCCTCGTTCATTTCGCAGATCCGGAAGCTCAACTCGAGACCCCGGCTTGTCTCAGAATAAGTGCTGAACGGCTCCCGCGGTGCGGAGATCAGTCGGTCTTCCAAAATCCTACTTATTCTTTTTCCGCAGATGGTGGCTACTCCCCGCATGCGAGCTGCTTCTGAAAAGCACGCTAAGAATATCACGCAAAGAGGCAACGTTCAGAAGTCATCCAAGGCAGTGGAGGAGAGACCGCCTGTGGGTCCTTGGCTGTTGGGACTTTTCATCTTCGTCGTGTGCGGTTCTGCCATCTTCCAAATAATCCAGAGCATTCGAGCGGGCTTCTAAGTTGATCGTGTACGGTGTAAGTTTCGGGGTATGTTGAGAGATATCTCGCATCCACGTCTACCGCCTCCGTCGCTCTTAGCTCGTTGTTGATGATTTCTTATCATTTCAGTGGAACTCGATTCTCAGCGCAATTCGGCAATCGGCTCTTTTCGCGATCGATGATACAGTAATGCAATAGTCTTCTGCGGGTAGCGTACTCCCTGACCACCGTGTCGAAATCAAGTCGAAAGTAGATCTATCAAGTTCCGACGTCCACATCTTGTACATTCTAACACAATGTTCGTTTTATTTCTATTCTGTTTTCCAAGAGAGCAAAGTATTCTCAGATTACAAAGATGATGAAAATAAAGAACTACGCGGGTTTTTGAGAGAGTTGCGTTACTTGCCACTTGAATGATTAGCGCATTACCGTCGGATGCTCGGTGAGAAGTGCTCTCTCAATGGAGTTCCCTAATCGAAATGGAAAATTATTCCGGTATCCGCCGACATTTTTCTTACTTACTCATGAGTACGATCAGGGCTGTTCGCTGCTAGATCGTGCAGAGATCTCATCACTCATCACGAAAATCATGGATGCTTTGGAGACATTCTTCTCATGGATTCAGTCGTGGCCGAGACTTCGCGTGTATAGCTGTCAATCGCGTGGTTCCTTTTTCCACCATGATGTGTCCGAGGCGACAGCTTGCCATCAGGGTTTGCACCTGGAAGTCTCTAGGGTCTCATGCCGTCAACGCCGCATCCGGCATTGTCGCCGGCAGACGGATCTCCCGGATTCGAGATAACGATAAGTTGATCAACTGGAAAAGGGTCGCGGATCGTGATCGGCAGAACCTCCAGCCCCAATATTCTTCGCTTAAGTCACGTCTTGCAGTAGAATTGGTCAGTAGTTCTCGCTCACTGAGTGAAAGGAGACTGATTCCGATGACAGGCGATCCGGGAAGTTTTCCTTCGCATGAATATTCTGAATCGATTGTCCTGAAGGAGTGGAGAGCGAATCTGATTCATCGTGCTGTGCCGGTGCAGAATGATGATTTCATCAGATTCGGCGCGATGGAACGCTCGCTCCCTAGCCGGAACGCTGGCGCTGCCTGGAATGGATCTTCTGGCTCGGTCCCCTCTCACGTCGAAGTTCCTGAGATGCTCTTGGGACCCTCCTTCTCCTCCTCGATGAGGAATCGATTGCATTCCGTGGGCTTTCTCCCGGATTCAATGATGAAATCAAGGAGATGAAAATGCTGCCCTCTCACAATTCGCCTCTTCGAAATCCCCTCTTTTTCATAGACAGCCGTGATTCATGAAGATCTTAGTGATGGGCCAATAGTATTTCGCGATCGAGAGCAAATCCGGAGCCTAGCCCATGGAATCTCCTCCGGGGAGAGGATATTTTGGCGGGCTCGAGACGAACCTCTTGCCTGGTGTTGAGGTTCTGGGTGAGTGCTTCACGGATAATTGCGCAGGTAGCGGCAAGGACCTGGGGAAGAATACTGTGTGGAATCTCGAGTCCCGGAAGTCGAAGGCCACGTGAATGCGTTCACCGTATTAGATTCCAGTTGTGCGCGTCGAAGGAGTCGACACCAGGGATCGGGGAGATAACCTATGAGGAACGTTGAGGCGGAACTGCACGTATGGTGGAAAGGAGACTGATGGACAGCAGCATCTATGGGGGGCGGTATTCCATTCATCCGAAATCTGGGAAGGGCGCCGCCACCGAAAGTCTCACGAACTCCGAATCGCCTCCATGGAACAGAAGAATTATCAGGGGAGTTCTCACCCACCCCGGCCATCGAAACTGGAGGACCTGTGAGCTGAGCTGAGTGATCTCTGCCAAACTGGGTATCGTTTACTTTGTACTCCGCTGCTTCTCGGCCATACGAGAGCTCCCTTTTGAAATCCCAACCTAGTCATGAATGGAAGGTTTCCGATTAGAGAATAAAGCCCCCTCCAGTCATCGATTGCTGTCTCTGGAGTCGATCTCTGTAAGGCCTACTGGACTTCATCTCCTTGGAATACTCGTAGTCTGACACCCCGGAATGTAGTAAATCAATACGCGCATTCATCCGTCTTGATATCAGGTGGGAGGTCTGGTCATTCAATTGCTCACGAGGAGATGCTCCCTCGGTATCTTCTCGAGGACCGGCACGGAGTCCGCAGTCCATGACGCTATGGCTGAAGATTTTTTATTGCGATTTCGCGATGTCGTGGCACTCCGGGGCCTTCATTGTATATATGTGAGAATTCCGCTAAACGTCGCGGATCGCCTTCTCATTAGCTTGCCCCGGGAGCTGTCCGAGAGCACCATCAGACGCATGTGTAACGAATCGAGTTCGCTGCCGAGCTTGGCGAGCTGTCAGGGCAGTGCCGCTCTCTTCCGCCAGAGGGCGAACAAACGGAATGTTCCAAAGCGGTAACTCTGTGAACCCGCGGGCTCCAGAGAAATGCTACAGATATAAGAGACGATGGAATAATGATTAATGAAAATCAGTGTGAGTGGAAGACGATGAATTGTTCATATAAGCGTATGGATGATCGATAAATGCCGGGACCTACCGAAGGGAGAGTCGACGTGAGGTGCCGCGTCACGCTGAGGATGTGCGCGCAACGACACGTGTGTGAAAAAAGAAGGCTAGCAGCGTGAAAGCGTTAGCATCCCAGAGATTTGCGAATCCCGGGAAATTCAGTGGAAGGCGAACGTCGTTCATCCCTGACGAAGGCCACGGCCTTGAGCGACTCCGAACGTGTTTTCGTATCTCACACCGTCAGGACTTTGAAGGCGTGGATTTTCCACAGCATGGACCCGACGTATTTCCGCTCTTTACGTCGAGGAACGATCCCTCCCGTCGGTCATATTCAAACGAAAAACACGGAATACGAGACCGATCGCTATACGCTCATAGAGAGGCATCCATATGATCGTATCATCGCAGTTACATCCTCGAGCGCTCACTCCGCCTCGCCCCATGGGAACTCTTCGTTCGTCGATCAACGTTTCCTTGCTTAATTTTCTATTCGGGTGGAATGGACTGAACATCCGAATCCTCCTTAATTAGAGTGTATCCGAACTGAATTGCCGGCTGAACTGGCCAAGATTGAGGCAGAAACGTGGAAATCTTGGCGATGAGAAGCCACTTGGAGACGCACTGTGGAAGTTCCAAGGAGAAGTACTGTCTGATTGGGAATGTTACGCCCGAAGGGCATGCGACGCATCGTGATTGTAGCGAGCTTCCTACTTTCCGAATCGAGATTCTCAATGGTTTTGACGCAGCTCGTCTGGAGAACCTTTTTCTCAAAAATTGTCCTCATCTGCGAAATATACCGGGCTGTCGACTACGAAGTTCACAAGAATATAATTCGTCCGAGTAAGGTGCGCTCTCGCATCCGAGGTTCATCAGGTCTACTCATTGAGGATTCGAATGACCGTCTGCGGTGAGGAACTCGTTGATGCAGTTGGGTTTCATGCGCAGATCAAGGAGCGGGAAGTAGGGCTCGACGGAGCCCCTGAATTCACCGATCGGACCCTCGAGGATGGTCGCCAACCCGTTCCGGGTTGGGTAGACGAGCGAAGGAGGAAGTCCTCAACTGAACGTGTTCTCGGTATTTTCGAGAGCAATGAACGGATCAAGAGATCTAGCGCACCAAGGAGCAGAAACCGAGAGAAGGTACATGAGCGAATCAAGTTTGAGATGCGAGATAGCCGGTCACTCGTGACTCATGAAGCCTGATTTGAGGTTGTTAGATAGCAATCATTATTGATATCGGATGCCAGCCTCCCAACGGTGCAGCGCCTCTACATGAACCTAGTCGAGCCATCTCGACACTGCTGCGAAACTCATGAAACACTACCCATGTCCTCGAAGGGGTAGGCCTGAAGCACCGAGCGTAGACGCGGAGAGCCGTGATTTGAGACCCGGAATTTCACGGCGCCGAAAACTGGTATTCTTCGCACTTCACTTAAGCAGCTCATTGAGTATTTATATGATGAATTATGTCGAACTCCATCGCGACCTCCGCAACCTGGAGTGAGTGAGCACCTCCTTCCCCCGTGTCCGTCGGAATCACGAGGAAATTCTCAATGATCGATATTCAGTGCTAATTGAAGGGGACGACTCTTCCACCGACCGAAGCCTTCTCCGTATTCTCAACGGTGGTGGAGGAGCATGTATCACTGGAATCTTCCCGAGTCCCCTCGAAAATCAATGAGAATTGGTCCTCACAATTTGATTTGCTTTTGTGAATCCCGTCGGGACGGATGGGCTCGAAATCTGGCCGGGTCGGAAGATATCTCGTCCCAATGGGGCAGAGGCCTAATGGGAAGGGGGACTAGCTCAACGTACTCGGTACGTCATCATAGTACATCACCCGCGGGACTCCATCGCATTCAGCATATATTCTATTGGTCCCTCCTTTCTCTGGGTCGCTGCTGCTGGAGATCGCACCGGTCTGTCTCTCGCGGTTGGGCGCGATTGACGCGAGCAGTCGGGTAAGCGAGCACGATTCCGCGTATTCGAACTGTATCCGAATATATTTGCTGCTTCAGAGACGCAACATTGAGACACCTGAGATTTCAATCTGTGAGAAGTCAGCAACCCTGTTCCGAACCTAAGACTGAAAGGGCCACTGGTCGATTAAGATCCCAAAGTCTCCCGTGATAAGTCATTTCAAGATCTCGACATGAGCATCCTGATTGGAACCCACAATATTGAAGTCTTTGTCGAATGACCCCTGGTTCTCAGTCGTGTCCTCCAAACTCCCCCCATTATAAGCCGGAGATCAATCAACTTCGCTCTCGCGTGTCTTTCGATAAGGGACGACTCGACCAAGTCCAAGCCTGATAAATCTTGATTGAACTGGCAGAATGAAGCTGGAGCGGAGATATCTTGGAGTCCGCGTCAGACATTCCATTGGCAGTGCATAAGCGAAACTCGATAGAAGAGACGCGGATTGCCAGGAATCGCCTGATTCTAGAGTCCAAAGCGTAGAGTCTGTTCGAGCGATGGCGATCTGCCCCTGAAGGCTGCGATCATCATCAGCGAGTAGCGCGCAAGCGCAAAAATAAGCGAGACGCGATAGAGGGCACCCGAATCCCGGAGGGATGCAAGTACGCTGACCATATCACTCAGAAAGGCGGATAGAGGGCGAGAGGCCTTTGCCCGCGGGCGAAAGAGCGGAGCAGTCGCCAGTCAAAACAATCTCTCATCATCGATCCGAGGGAATCTCATCGCGGTATCTGACGCATCGGCTCGTTCTCGATGATTCGGAAAGGCTCTTTCCAGTCTTTTCCATCCAAAGATCAGCGGAATCCTGTTTGAGCCCGAAAGTTAATGAGACACTCGAGCCTCGAGTTCGAGCGAGTGTGTGGTATACTCAGCCCGTTCCGCTGCTAGATGGCGTGTTAGAGTAGGAGAGGGAGGTGACGTCATCTCGGTAGGCCTTATCGAGAGGCTTATTTAGAGCGTCGCGAAGTCGTTCTCGAGTCACTCAGTGTCCGACGTCCTTGAAGGAACGAACGAAGAGCGAACAAAAGCAGCTAGCAGCCAACCAAGCAAGCGACCTACCACAGAGGAAACGTCAATCCTAGCTTCGACTGAGGATAATTTTTGCTGTTCTTTGTTCACCAGTGTTGATTCAATCTTCGGGATCGTGAAAATGGTGCTTTTAAGTAGTAACAAAGAGACTTCCGTTAGAAGCCCTTTCGGTGTGAATCGTCTGGATCAACGTGCGACTTCAAGTGGTGAAAACGGAGGGGAATTCGTGCCCCAGTGCTTCGGTCGCTCTCTCGCTACCCTGTCGAACCACTACTGCGTTTCGCTGGGTGCGGGGCCTCTGTGGTGCTCCTGATGCCCCCCATGCACCAATCAAGCGGTCCGCTAATGACCAGTCGGGTGGACAGTGCGTGGGGAGTGCGAAGTCAGCACACCCGATCGTCGTTTCAGGCTCTCAATCAGCGCTGAACCTTGAGAAGGAGAATTCTGCAGGTCCTTTATGGATAACGTTCCGTGTACGAAACTCAGCCCATGTTTTGGAAGCGATGCTGCTTGACCGTAAACTGGTGCTGCCGCTACCAGAAGAAGGCCTACCGGAAGGCTCAAAGGAGGCCGTCACCGAGCTGTTGGAGTTCGCAGAGGAGCAGCTCAAAGCGACTGAAGTAATCGTGTCTCTCGCGAAGGATCGCCAGGATCGCATGGTCATCATCAGGACCTTAATGTATCTCGGTTTCGAAGCTCTGGCACCAGACAGCCCCTTGCTTCCGCCGGAAACTGTGGATCCCAATCATTACTTCATGTGCTATTCGATTTAAAACCACCCTCCTATCATTTGTCCGCTAGGCGTCATGTAGCCGCTCCATTCAACACTTGTATTCGACAAGGATGAAATTCAATTCCCCGACGATGCTTCCTTTGTGCGACTCTGAATGCTTCATAACTGCAAGAGAGCTTGAAAATCTCATCCACTCTTAACCGGAACAGAATCTGTACACGGAATATCTCCCTCAATCTAATATCCTATTGGAGTGATATGTTTGTAGTGCAGATAGACGACATATCTTCAATAACGACGACGACGACTCTGCAAGCACCATGGAACAGTTGGTTTCATGACACCCGACATGATCTTAAGTCGACCGACTTGAAAAGTTGATCATCTTTTTCCTTACTTCGTTGCTTACACTTTATAATATCAGAGAGAAAATAAAGATCCAACCGTATTAAAGAAATTATCATTGAACTCTTCACTGTAGTCGCCTAGCGAGGAAGTACGATCCGATAGCGTCGTAGAATCGCTGTACTCACAATCAGTGTCGGAGACAGGCGTACTGCCGATACCCTATGGAATATTTCGAGCTCCCTGTGGAAAAATATGACGCAGATTTCCACTGGCTCCTCCTGCGCCGCGCCGTCCCCTGGGAACGGGCTCTAGAACGTTCGAGAAGGTTGACTACGAACGCCCTGCTTGACGTCATGCGCTCGATCATCTGTTGTTTTCGGAGCCCGGAAATCGCAGGACGATGATGTATCGCAAACAATCCCTTACCAATTTGGTTTCTTTGTTCTTTTTGAGTCCTGAGACGGTCCTACTCCCGTCTGAGACTTGAGGCTGATGAGAGTATCATTTGGAGCTCGGACATCTCCAGTGTCGAACATTCGAAAAGCCGGAATTTCGCCGTAGCATGTCTATCCGATCCTATTGCTCCTTGTTCTCCCAAGTATGCGAGGAGAGGCTCTGTTAGAGGCTTGGCTGAATAGTTCACGCTGCAAACGGACAACTGACGGTCCAGGAGGGTCGCGAAAGAAGATTGTTCTTTACGGGGCTCTTCCGAACTCGGTAATGACCGAGTTGCTCTTCTCGCACGGAACCGCAGCAAAGCATAGAAAGCATGGTGGAAAAAAGGAGTGGTCACGACGCCAAAACATCAGAGCAGTCCTAGACAGTGAGAGTTCCAGCATCGGGAGACCAGAGAGGCCAGCGGACTCTATCGGAAAACTATATGAGCGAAGCTAAGACGGCGTATATGCACGACAGCTGAGGATATTTCGTCTCTTGAATCGTATCCGATGCTCGTTGAGAAATCGTCGTCTGAGATCCATTCTCTGCCGCCTTCAACTCCGGCCGGAACTTCATCGGAGCATCATTTCAGGGAGTCCGCCGCTACTACTGCCAGGCGTCTACAGACGGACGCTTAGAGCTCGGCGGCAACGAGGCGCCGATATGTGGTTTTGGCAACACGAATCTTGTCGTCTTGATCGAGATGCTGCGAATCAGATGCCCGGTGACGATGATTGTCCGTATTGAATCGATCAAGCTGCTCATTTGCGTCGAGCGTCAATTGTTAAAAACCTAGAGATTTCCGCTCATCATGGCTACTGCTCGGCTTTCGCTTAGTATATCCAGAGCCGACTGATTAGATGTAGGTATCTCATATCTTGGACAGCGACTGCGACTCGATCGCGCTTGGAATCCACCGAAAGAAGAAATATACGCCAGAAATCACTCCTGAATCGTCAAGAGTCGAGTCAACAGAATTCGATGGGATCTGATAGTAATAAGTGCTGCACACCAAATTCGCCATAATCTGGGAATTTATTTTTGCAGCTCCCCCGCCTGGACAACGAAGGCGATGTTCATAAATTATTCTGTTGCTGTTGCTCCCAATGATTCACGTGAGATGTCTCGTAAAAACCCGGGTATCGTGATACTGAAATCTGTTGTGGAAGCCATGGCTGACTAGCCGCAGCCATTTCGGGATATTCGAAGGGTGCTGCTTCGGGTGGATTGTCATAGAGGTTGAGCTCATCCCGTTCGTAGGATCGTTGTAGAACGCGATCCCGGATTTCTTTCTCGAGGAGCACTGGAATAAAATTGTTCTTTTCGGGTAAGGATCGAGTTCCACCGCAAGCTCGTAGAACACAAAACTAACGTAAAACTACAATCATCCTACCATGGCGAATGCTGTCAGAGGTCGGTTGTCGGAAACTGCTTTCGGTAGTAAAAGCACTCTGAAGCTCAGAAGTGTTGGGCGGTTTGTACCTGGGGAAGAAGGTTTCATTTGCGAATGAATCCAGATTGTCAGTCTTACAGATGTTCAATGCAGGCTCGAAATCTTCCGAGACTTTCTCGGCAACTTCATCTTGCGCCGCGACCGACCAATTGGCGGATCCCGGGCCGCCTGCATGCGAGGGTTCCAGAGCAGGCGTTGACGAGCTCGGAGGCGTCACTGGACGCGTGTGCTTGTGGGTACATCTGTGTCTGCGCTCGTCCGACGGAGATAGCGGGGGTGATATGTGCATTGGACTATTAGGCTCGGTGATTCCTGGAAATGCGGATTGGGAGAGCATTTTTTCCAGGCTCTTCAGTCAAAGGGGGAACCTCGATCTCGAGATGATTTTCAGAGGCTTTTGGACGGGAAGCTAACCTTTCGCTCGTAATTCTTTCTTGTATTTCATGCGTCTATTCTGGAACCATATTTTGATTTGACGCTCCGAGAGTTTCAGCGAAGCCGCGAGTTCTATACGCCGAGGGCGACAGAGATATCGACTGAAGCGGAATTCCTGCAAAAGGCACGCGTCGCATTTCACGGATATCCAATATATGACGGTGCGGTATTTTACACGCTCAGATCTCTGAAAAATCCATTTCCTACTTTTTCTAGCTCGACCAGTTGCGAAGAAGTGTATGCCGTCCGGGGGCGTTTACCGCTGGTTGAGTCTCCCAAGTCAGCTAGAAAATTCAAACCTCTTGAGGGGATCAAAGACGCCGCTCCAGATGGAAACGGGATGGTTTTGAAGATTTCGAATCTACCATTAAACTGAGTCGAAGCCATTCCCTCCCTCCCCTGTCCCCGCGCCTCTAGTCACAATCGACTGCCCGCGACTCGGGTCGAGGAAACTTCCTCCGAAATCGCAGCGCTCCGAGTCCTCAGAGGAACCCATGTAGTAAGAGGAAATACATCTTCCGTACGCATACAGTACTGCTCTAGAAAGGAAGAACACGTTTCGTGGACACGGACCATGCTTCTTTCGTTTCGCGGATCCCGAGCTACGAGAATGCTCAGCAACAGAAGATGTCTCCATCGGAGGATTCGACCATGTCGGGAATTTGACGTCTGCCGGTGCATCGTATAATGGTATAGTACATTGTGGATACGGTTCCATTCTCCTCTGGACGAGGAAGCTGGATGGAAGGAGAGAATTAGAGAGAAATACGCAGTGATATCCATTAAGTTTCGGGGACCGATCACGAAAACTGAGCATGGAAACATTCCAATCGGCGAAACTGACACTGTCACAGGAGGTCGCTCATTGACTCACCCAGTAATTTCTTTCGAACTGTTACTCGGAGTGTTCGTTGTCACTTAACGGGCGACACAATTTGCTTAATATGTTCTGCTCTTACACTAATGTTTCCACTAAAGCTTGACTTCACTTGACGCTGACGGGGTTTTAGACTACATCACTACCGTGCGCCCTACTATGATTCTTTGTCATCGGATAGATTGAAGCCACAGTAGGTTTTGTAGGCGGAGCGCTGAAGCGAAGGAGGAGCTTCGAAGGCGACTCCGAAGTCGACTTTTTTTTGTGACTTCGGTGCGATACTCGGACTTCGTTGCCGGTCACCAGAGCTGAGTCGCGGACACAGACACGGGAACCGGTCCGTGCATCGCTGATTAGAAACATCATTATGGCAAGCGGTCGAGCATCCCGGGAAGCGAGACAGTGTGTGCTGGACGATGTTGGATAACGAGCATCGACCAGCAGAGCCAAACACTAGGGTTTTCATGGATATATCCAAGTATCATATATCAAAGTAGTTGATGAAATGTGTTTGCTTGGCCGTCGAGGGCCGCTCTCTGCGATCCGTCGCGAACCCCACGCCTCAGTGGGGGAACTCGATTGATCCTGTTGTAATCAATCGTGTAGATTCGGACCTCGAATCGTACGATGCTCAGAATTGGACCGTGCATGTGGGTTCTAGATTAGCTACGCGATTCCCATCTGAGGTTGCCTGGTCTTAGAGACGTTTCGACTCGGTGAACGCACCGCTGCGGGCGTGCTCCGAGGAAAACGGTCGCTGCTTGAGGGAAGCGCCCCGAATATCCTCGCCCCCGGAATATTCGCATATCCCGGGATCCCCTGCGGTTCCCAATAACGACTCAGATTCGAGTGAATGCTAATCGTGAATTTCGGTCGAGAACCGTGAAGTGAATGGTTTGAACCGATTCCGGATAGAACTCGCTCAAAACGGACTCGGAGACGGAAGCGGAGCGGCTGAAAGAGCCTCCTTCCAGACTCCTGCTCCCTGTCTTTGCTCAATCCTCAGAGACGCTCTCCTAGCCCGGAAGATGTGGAATAACGGCTACTTATCGTTTTCCCTACTTTCCTCTCGTAGTCGCCGATGGAGCTCGAGGGTCGATGGCTGAGCCTCTCGCGGCTTTGTTCGGGTCGATCGGATATCCGTTGTGCGTGTTGGTCAGCGCTAAGCAATAATTACGTTGCGTATTCATCGAACATAGGAAAATCGGGTAATGGAGCGGGAAACATTGAGTATTTACGCTGTGAAATCAATTCGTGGGCGTGGAGAAGCGGATGGGAGAGGCTTATTTTCGGGGATGCGTTTTTCTGGGGAGTCTCTCATGAGCAAGTACAGATTAGCGCCGTATAGCTCGACGGATCCTCGGAGAAGTTCGAGCCGGGGTCCAGAGTCCGTTGTCGACAGAGATATCTGCAGCAAGCTCGCCGTTCTCCGCGATTCTCCAACTTCCGGATGTGTGATGTCCATCGATACACTGGTACATGACTAGTTTTCATTACGAGTGCGTGAATTCTCTCCGCTAGGAAGCAGATGGGTTAGAAGCGCGCGAGCGTTCAGGCTCCGATGCGTTTCATCTGGATCGAGCATCGAGTATCGCTGCGGAACACGGTCAAGACGATTTTTCTCGAGAGAAGTTACATCGCCGGCGTTGGGTTCCGACTGGGAGGCCAGGGACAATTCTACGAAAAACGATGCAGCAGATGATCTGAGTCGACAAAACCTACTTGCGTTGGTGCGAGTTTGGCACGAGCTCATGTCCCCGACAGCCTGGAATTTTCAATTCTCATGTCCGTGGGCTTCCAACGTCTTCAAAAGTTTCAGGGGCTCGGCTCAAGGAAAGAAAACGCTCTCGACAACCGCTGCATTGGGGCTGAAATCAATCGTGAGCGCCGCGGATCGGAGGCATCGCGCTGGAGAAGTGATCAAGGATGTCGAAATGAATGGTTTGACGGTCAAAGTTTTTCGGTAAGAAAGGTTCGATTCTTCTGGTCTTCACTGGGAGTTCTCGACGGAATTCGCGAGTCTTGATCGGATTTCTTGAATGACAGTGGTCAGATTTCCATAAACTCGCTTGGAGGATTGGAGCCCGCGATGCGGAGCTCTGTTTTCTTTCGAGAAGTTTGACACGCAAGATTTCACTCGATTTCTTCGTTGGGCGTTCACCTGTCTCATCGGATTTCTCGCTACTTGGCCAGGATCTCGAGGTAGTTCGATCTGCAATGCTCCGGAGAATCCCGGAAAATACGAGTTCCCCCGCAGCAGGTGATCCTCTTGTATGATGTTCGGGCTCTATCCCAAGCCCGAGCATCATACAACATCCCTAAACTACTCGTGAAGCGGGAACTTTTTCCTCAAACTTCGAATTTCATGCTTAGACATGATTGCGTTCTGTAAGTTGCTCAGCTGAAAAGTCGAAAGCATAGTTCCCTCCGTGAGGCCGAATCCGAACAACGGACCGTGGCGGCCGACTATAGCCTGACGATGTCTCTCATCAAAATCCGATCACATTCGAAACTGTCGACTTCAAACTGTAGACGCTTGATCGGCGAGCGGAAGGACGCACCGACTGTCGAGCGGCCGCTCCGAAGAAAGCCATTGAAAAGCTTCTCGATCTCTTGTCTGGCTTTGGTGGTCCACGATCTGAAATCGTCGCGTTGGCATAGAAACATTCCGAAGTGGCCGTAGGAAGGGGAGAGAGACTGTGAAGAAGGAGTCGCACACTAAGGGGAGCGAGCGAAGGATAATTTCAAAGAAGATATTCATTCTGGTATTCGTTCATGGTTGAGTTTAAATTCACATTTCTTTCGAGTCAATTAACTCCGAGTCGAATCGGTCAGTTTTTCCGGCGACAAACGCCAGTTTCTGCACCGCAGGTCGTCCATCCGAGCAAGAATGAGTCGTGGCCATTGATTTCAGAGGGCGCTGTTGTCAGACGACGAGAGCGGTCAGCGACGGGCGGCGCCAATATCATTGTGACAGTGAAATATGTTTTCTGCTGGCCTGTCATTGGGCCAAAGCTGGGGAATTATAATGTTTCATGAATGTCGGCGCAGATTTTCGGGAGCAGTCTCAATGCTGAATGTCCGAAGAGCAGGTTTGAAAGAATTGAATGGATGGACTTGAGCTGGATGAGTAAGGTTCGAACTACTGCACTGAACTCGACATGAGCCCTCCCGGAAACTTCCCCTCCATCGGTAGATGCTTCTCTAATCGTCAATCACCCCCGTTTTTTCTCTCACAGCGGTAGCGTTTGCAGGTTTTTTGTTTGGGGGGGGGGGGGGCAGGACTGGATTCTCGGGGGGCCAGGGGTCTAGGATGATGAGCACCCTGTAGTCATGCATAACGAGAGAAGGTTCGTGGGGGGGAGGGCCGATGGTTCCCTTGTCCCCCCCCGGACTACGCCTCTGTCTCACACACTGACAGGTAAACATTCGCTTCCTTCAGTCTGGGCTTGCCAAAATGGGTATGCTTTCCGAAGTCCTAGGCCTCTTTCAGGCAATTGTGGAGTACCAGCGTCAGTCAGCTTATAGTTTGCGAATCCCCCGGATTTCTGATTTCCCATAGACTGGTCATTGTGATTCGAAAGTTTCCGGAATAGAATGGCCTAAGAAATTGTTGGAAAATTCCCGCCCTCCGATGACCATTCTATGGGAAGTGAGAAATTCCATTTTTCGCGCACCACAAGCTCTTTGACGCTGATGCTCCACAATTTTCGTAGTTAGACCTAGGGATTTCCGAGCACATACTCACCTCGTTGTCAGCTTCGTAGATCCGGATTGAAGAAAGCGAATGTCGATTCCAAAGAGGAGGTGAGGAGAGACTTTGGATCAGATCCACGCTCCCGGCTTGTAACATTCCGTCACGAGCCCGCTGTTCGCTCACCGGGGAAATCGGGCTCTCACATCATGTGTTCGACCTCCGACACGACCTACAAAGCCGAGGAACGATTCTTCCGGAATCCCGTCGGTTCGGAGAACATGGTCGAGCCCCGATACCCCTGGATTCCGACAGGAATGTTCAACGACCCTCGCGACATATCCCGCCTACCTAGCTGAAGAAGGCCACGGCCAGAGGAGAGTTGGCGATCGGGGCGACTGTGCTCCCGTGGTCGGGTCAGTATGAAAAAAAGTTCGGGTGGGTCAGAGAGGCCGCCTTAAGAAACGACTCACAGCTCACCATCAGTACAAGCGCGCATACAGCCTATGGAACGTGTTCATTCACTCCGAAGCCTGGTTCCGCTGAAGGGACCGTGCCTTCGAAGTTTAGATCCCTCCTCTCTGATTATCCTCCGTAAAGTAGACAGGTCTCTTTCGAATGAAGCGATATGATGCTCAAACGACTCGGCATCGAGACGCTAGATGGAGAAGCTCACCAGACTCAGTAGAGCTCAATCAAGATGCGTAACCCAGCGAATGCGGGTCGGGAGCGGAAGGTCCTGCATCTTACTGGATGCGGATTCCCTAATTCCCGCGGATCATGCTCCCCTATTCTTCTGCCATGCGATATGTATTGAAGGTGATGCGTGAACCGCTGGAGGCGATCGAGAGCACCGCATCGGCTGATGAGGAGGCTCGAAAACGAAAATCGAATGGACCACCATCGCGAAGGGTCGGCGAAGACCTGAGTTCGACATGGGTGGATGTCAGAAGACTCCGAGGAACACCGATGTAGGCTCGACATGTGAACTGTCGATCTATAGCTTCCGAAAAGGATGCCGGAATGAGGGATACATCCTAAGGAGTCACCGCTCAATTGGGCGGAAAAAGTCGATTGCGATTGTCTGGAATCATTATCACGGTTTAATCAACAGGACACCGATTTTATGTTCCAGGAAAACCGTGAACGTGTCACGGGCAAAGAGTTTTGATGGCAACTCCCCGATCATCTCTTACATCCTAGAACCACGAGAGATGCCTCTCCTATTGAACCTGAGCGAGGATTCCAGACTCCTGGTGCGATGGAAGGAACACCAATACAACATCTTTACCGACACCACGTGGATCCTGGTTGGAATGCTGGAACCATCGGTGCCGTATCAATTCATGAACAAGGCGAAGAAGTCTGTAGGTGTTGGTCCATCATACCGCAGTGGAGTCCCCCCACGGAGGGATATCGCGACGGAGAACTCTTGGGCCATGAACTTCGGCTCAGACTCGCAGGGTACAGCCGATCTGACGAAGCGCAACGCAGGGTCGACGCGAGCCAACCGTTGCCCTCTATCCTCGAAAAACCGATCGTCTAGCGTCTAGCAGACTTACGAAGTTCGCGTGGCCGCCTTCAATGAGCAAGGCGTCGGTGTCTTCTCGGGACCGGTGACGGCTCGAACCAAAGAAGCTCCACCGCAAAGCGCACCAACCTTGCGTCAAGCATACGCCATCCACTCAACCCATATCAAGTTGAGCAAAAGACGAAGAGACGGAGATTTGATTCTGCTTCTTTTCCTGTTGAAGACGACATTCACGCGCACGCTGGAGGGAGGTAGCAATCACATTGGGGATTTTCTTGCCTGGCGGGGTACCGATGGAAGTACGGAGTCCACTTCGTTTCAGAACCAACGTGGAAAGTTATATGCCCTCAGGGGAGGAGGGGCTCTCGCCACCCGGATGGCTGTCGGTGCAATCGCGGTCCATTCGTTCTCCGAAGGTCTCCATTACCGGACACACTGAGCGCCTCAAGAAGTTGATGCGCGTGATTTGTCTTTGTTCCAATTTTGTTGAAACGGACCGATATTCCGCTCCTGGGTAAAGCTCTGCTCGGGAAGAGCAGCAATAAGCGGCACTATGTGGCGTGCGTTCTGGCTGCTGCGGGTGCCTGGTTCGGTCCGAGAGAAGTGTCTGTCCGGTCCTTATCTGTGACACCGTACGTTCTGTTTGGTCAGCGGAACATCTAGGTTCGGGAGCTGAGCAGCCATCTGTTTTAGATCGACCTTCTCGCGTCCATGTCATAGGGCTCTCCCCCCCCGTGCTCGCAATTTTATCCCTTTTGAAAGGCGGAACACAGACCTCGTCGAGTAGAAATGGATCACCTTTCTCGCTGGAGACGACCTGAGGCAAGAGTTCGGCTCTCGAGCAAAAGTCGGGCTCGTCCGGGATTTGAACCCGGGACCTCTCGCACCCTAAGCGAGAATCATACCCCTAGACCAACGAGCCACTTGTGAGATATCCTGAACAGTTCAAATGACATTTCTGAGTTTCGGTGAAGAGTATCGATCGACATAGAGCTTGCCGGGCGTTCGAGAATCTCATGGAGCTCCATACGAACGTCCTGTCCCGAGCCCCAAGTGGGATAGCGAAAGAAGATTCAGCCGGCCCATCAGGAATGAGTTTCGATATGCCAGATAACATTGTCGAGAATGGTCCCTACTACGAAGTGTCCGGAATCTGGATACACGGAAGTCTTTGAGCAATAGTGGATGCCCGATCCGGGACGCACCTGGGAAGGAATGGTCGCATACGATTTTGTTTATAAACCACAGAATTTCTTTATTAAACCATCTTGCGGCGAGAGAGCTCATTCCCATTGATGCGCGGTGGCAACTGACAATTCGGTAATCAAGATCATGACGGAGGAGGCAAACCGTGACAAGGGATCGTCTGTATTGGGATCGTCTGTATTGGGGTTCCCTTCAAAGCAACTTGACGCTCAATAAGCCCCCCTTTACAGTCGTCTCGGTTCGGAAATGTTGCAGCTTGGAGGGAATCTCGGTATGGAGCGCAAAACTACGGATTCGAGCGCAGCCGAGGGAGTCCCCAGGCATCAGACGCGGACCGGAAAACTCGACGATACTCTGAGCTAGTGGCCCCTTCCGGGAAATCCGGTCTCGGGAGAAATCTTCAGTCGGGGCTGTCGAGGAGTTAGCCTCTGAATATCGAATACTGCATCGAGACAACACAGAGGGGAACCGGGAAAGAGAGCTTAAGATCGATGACTGGATGAAACTGTGCGTCGCGCCGTTGCCGACACATTTCAGAGTTGACTTCCGTATTGCATCTCTTCGCAAGGCCGAGAAAAATTCTGCGAGGTCACCACTTGGAGATCATACAGTGACTAAACGTGACGAATGATTCCCTGCCGAGTCTGTACAGTAAATCACCCTCATTCGGGGCATGCTCCGCGATGTTTCAATTCGCTCAAGTCGATTTCTCTCCGTCTACGCTCTACGCAAATGCCGTCATCACGAGAATCGCGGTGCTTCCCTGTTGTTCGGATCGAGCGTCGGAGGTTTCTCACTATAATTATAATTACAATAATAATAATGATAATGATACCACTTCTGCCGACGCAGGACCTCGAGCGAAAAGACTATCCACGTCGGTGAAAGTCTGCGGGAGGGCGGAGTATTTCGGTCTGATTACATTTTTTTCGGTCGGGTGTCACGAGAGGACCTCGACGGCGACTGATTACTCGATGCTTGCCGGTGTATCCATTGTCTCTGTTCTCCACCAAGGGTGAAGCCTCTCAGAGAGACCCGTCACATATGTGCGCCTCAAGAGCCATACTAGAACGCACGTCGTGCAATTCTCCGGCATCTTAATTCTTCTATTGGAGGAACTCCAAGAATAATCTCATGAGCTGTCCTTTGCGATGGGATTGATCCAGCCGATAAAGCCGCGGATGACCGTCCGCTTTTCGTACGCACCGTATTCGGATCGAGCTCTTTCATCTCGGTCAGGCTTCAACTTTGTAGACCTGAAGAATGCCTTGAGCGCAGAAGTCAAGGTTCCTTCATTGAAATATCGCGAATATTGCCCTCAGCGATCAACGATTTGTGACTCCATGCAGAGATCCGCATAAAATATCGAGGCATCATGATGGACGAATACTTGACGTAACCTTCATCTGTCCCCACCCTTCGATTTCCTCAAGTTCCCTCTCGCAATGCGGGCACTATTCGTCACGCTGCTCTTGTCCTACGTCAGACCTATGATTGTTCGCCGGAAGGAATCCTATTTGTAAATCATCACGCTCCGAAAACGCCATGTCTTACCCCTCTTGACCATTCTCATCCAGATACCTCGCTTCCGCCATTTGCACTCGATCGACTGGGCTAGGAGTCGAACGAATTGTCTAGTTTGGCACGGAGCTACCGAAGGTTGGACTCAAGAAGCGAAACCACAGCCGAAGAAACAACTGGCAGAGAGCACGCTCGCCTCCGTCACTCTCGCGGAATGTGACCATTGTCGTATTCAAATATAATGCTCAGAGGCTTGTGGTATGTGGATTATTGAGCTCAAGTCCCCGATTCAAAAATACGACCGGGATTCCAGAAAGTTCCGATGGGGGTCATCATGGACACCTCCGGAGCCTCGGCCCTGGAATTCCTCAATAGGAAGGAAGCCGCATGCAGTCAGTCACAAAAAGGGGGGTACTCGTCGAAAAATGCAAGGAGGTGAGAGATGTCGGACCTATGCAAACTTGTTCTCTCTGTGCCACCCTGCTCCTCGAAGAGCTACGAATACTAGGAGGGCGCGGAGCAACTTAACGATATTCTCGTTCGATCGATGGCAGGCTGTGCCGGAAAGAGCTTCATCGGGGCCGTTCCCCGAGCTGCTAAGCGCATCGGACAGATCATGTGTCCCTCGGCAATGATTTGTGGGGCACAGTCGAATACGAAATTCATTCGCAGATCAAATCGAGCGAACTCTCTCTGAAGGCGGAATGGTGAGGGACAGAATCTTATACACTGGGTTAAACCGGCTCCGGACGAGAGCTAATGGGAATGTCGATAACAACTGCGATATGCCCTGTACTGAAATCGGGTCTGCGCAACAGGAACACGAGTTCGGCGACCATCGGAAGGACATGAGAGAGGATTCCCCGGAAGACTCGATGGGCTCTATATTCGATAGGCACCGAGACTCGATGAGACATAATGACGTACGGAGACGATAGATTCTTCTGCCCGCTAACAAGATATCCTATGCTGCCACGCACTGTCCCCAAGGCTCCATGGGGGTGTAGGTTCGTTACTCCGGATCGCGTCACGCCGCTCAAGCTCCCAATAAATCCTATCTCTCGTCGCATGCTCCGAGACTACAGCCGTATTTCCGATACAATTAGCGCTGATTCACCGGTTGTCTCATAAAATGACCGCATGGCATGACTTGCTTCTGGTCACGATGACGGCGTTGAGAGAGAATCACCAAAGAGTGAATTATTATTATCAATGGTCGATAGATGCCGTCCGCTCGTCTCTACCCCCTAGCAAACACCGAGGGCACTTCGTCCCGGCCCCCGAAGCGTTCTATCAGCTTTAGATAGAATCAAAATCAAGGTGAAGATGGGACCGATTCGCTCACAAGAGACAGAACACGGAATTTCCAACCCGAGGACATGAAGGTCTTGTACGAGCGGACTCGCCGGGGATGCGTCAGCTCTTGCTTCAAACTCCGGGAGAACGAAGGCACGTGTCAATTACGGCCACTGCAGTGAATCTAGCGTATCACTGTAGCGGAGACGCTCCTAACATTCCTTCAGATTCCATCTTCTAGACTTGAATCGATGAGAGACGCTCGAATGGACGTTCACAAGCGTTCTCTCCATCGAGAATTCATAATTCACTTGAGAAGAACTTCGTGAACGGATCGGCTGTGTGGTGGAGAGCTCACGAGGTTCATCATTTGGCTTGAGTTCAATGCGGGCGACGACGCGATGCACGGTCCTCAGGTGGGCTGGCCGTGGGATTGTGAGGGGGGGACCAAGAGTAGAGATGTTAACTCGACATGCAATTCCCTGAGTTCGGCGATCTGCACCCCCAGTCGATTGCTTAGTTGCTCAAGGGCAGGCTGCTTACTGCCCGAAATTCTCACTGACTCGAGCTGCTCTTGAAGACGAGAAACCGACATTCGTAACGTATCGTTCTCCGCTAACATCGCCTGAAATCGATCATGAGCAGAACGATTATGAGAGATAATAATGATAATTGAGTTCTCAGAAGTATACAATCGGAGATTGAATACCCTCCACGCTGAGCCGAAGCTGCTTCCCACTCACCTTCACTCTTTCCGTTGGTGCCGACGGGGACGATCGTAAACTTTCCAAATCCTTATCCTTCTGAACAAGCTCGGCGTTCAAGTACTCGTTCCTTTGACGAAGCTGACTGAGTTCAGCCCCGAGCTCGCTCGCCGCTTCCTGATTGCCGTGAGAGGCTTCGTATTCGAGAACTCGGCAGCGCAATTTAGTGTTATCATCTAAGAAAGGAAGCGCAAGAGATGTTAATTATCGAACCCCATTCGAGGATCCGTAGAGCTCATATAGGAGGGATTACTATAGCTTGCGGTACATCTACCTAGAGAAACCCTGACACAAATTGGGAGAATTCGAATCAGAGATGCGAGAGTGCCCAAAGCTCTGAGGCTGAATCGGGAGCCCATAGAGCTTCGACCTGAGAAGGCTCACCTTTGAGCGACTGCAATTGACGTTTCCATTCTTCGACGTTGGCTGTACTCTCTTGAAGAGCACAGGTTAGCCGCGCATTATTGTTCTTGAGCGTCTGCAGTTCAATTTCCCACTTCTTTGCGTTGGCAGAGCTGAGAGGAGAAAAGGTTCATCAGCCGTTGGCCCCGGACGCTCAATCCTCACAATGATTAACCGGCTAAGAGTTCGCTTTTCAGTCATCGTATACATCCCACCAACCTCTGTGCCAGAGCGAGTTTGAGCCTATCGTTTTCGTAGCGAAGCTGCGCCTCCACCGTTGATTGGGGCAATTGGCTGACCGGTTTGTGTTTCGGACTGTCTTCGTTGGCCGGTTCGAGAACAGCTACCGCAGCAGCGGCAGACGCGGCTTGCGTCTGATGGCCACCAGAAGCTGCTTGGGCGGCCGCTGCGGCAGCAGCTGCCGCCGCCTGACTATTAGCGTTCCCGCTACCCCCTCGCACGAGGGTTGAGCTTGGGGAATTAGAAGAGTTTCCATTTTGTTTTTGTTGGACGAAGCGCGTCTTATCTTTGACCTCTTGGAATTTCTCGATGAACTGCGGGGAGAAAGGCATTAGTACGGAAGCTTAGATACCATCGGTCTCGGGGAAACTCAAGTCGAGTATTGACCATCTCTGAAAAATCAATGGACTTGTCACACTAACCAGATTGAGATCTGCCTCGGTCTGGAAGCCGAGTCCGTAGACCGTGTTCGCCCGTATGTCAGACCACTGACCGAACTTTTGTGACGTTTTTGTGAAAGTCATCGATGGGGCGATACTGGAGTTGATCACCGGCTGCCAAATTCGCCCAAGCGAAAACAGAAAGCTTAGTATACTGAAAATGTGCTGTGGAACGGGACTACGCGTTCCGATGCAGTCGCCAATCGTGAATATTCAGAGGTCAGAGTGCATCATGGCGAATGCTGAGGGAAGTGTTCTTTTGAGGAAAGCCCCCCCTCGAACCCGAAGGCATTCTCAAGGGCTGGAGCGCTCCGAAATCCTGAGGGGCACGGTTCGAGCATGAGGAAACGCGCCTCTCTCCTCGTGCACAACAGCGACGAGATGAGAAAACTAAAACTGACGCACAGAGCCTGAAGCGTGCTGTCGATAAAGCTCGACATCCCGGAGCGAAGTATATATGATAGGAATGGAACGGGGATCCGTGGCCATGTTGCTCGGTATGAGCTTTAGTGAGATACAAAAGCACGTTCCTGAACGGATATTCCCCGCCTGTCCTTGTAGGTATTTCGCAACGGCAGCGTCTCGAGTTTCGGAGAATTCCCTCCTTATTTTGTCTCACTCGGTTCGAGTCGCTCTGAACTCGCAGCGGAGGTGGAGAGTGATCACGGACTCGCAACGGCTGCCTTCCTCCTGTCCTGAGCTCCAGAGCTCGATGATTGGCTGACGCCCAATCGAGGTTGGAAATTGTGGCCCACGGCCACACTAGATTCGATTGGGTGCTTGGGTAGGTTCTATTTACCTTCGAGCCTTCAACTGATATGATTCGGTACAGACTTCTCGAGGCGTCGTAAAAGAACGACACTGTGACGGCGTGGCTGGAGGCTGGAATCCATGATCTCTTGGTTTTTGGGTCAATGTGAAACACGTGAGCCTTCGTCGAAAAGATGGGCTGCTCTCTGTAATGAGAATGAATAACACGATGAGCGTGATTGTCTGGCATCCTAGCTCGGCCCGAAGAGTCCCCGCTATCGCAGACTAGATATGAGATACACTACCGAATCGGACAATCAGACTTCACCAAGTCGCGTCTCGCCTGTACAGAATCGTCGCACGAGCTCCCGAAAGAATCGAAATCGGATTCTCGGAAAAAATCAATGTTCTCCGATCTCCACAACTCGGGAATACTCCGCGATTTCGATAGCGAGCCCCGTTCCATCGACGCGTTCCTGCGGAGGGTGGCTGCTGCGGAATGGTTAAGAGGTATGACCGATCGCCGGATGTGCTCCCTAATTTCGCGGTCGGCGTCTGAGGCAAGGGGTCTCAGAGCGATCACTTGATACTCTCTCGCATGAATATTCGGTATCGAATGCGTTCGTAGAAGTGGAAGTGTCTTATTGACAGGCAGCATGTGGTGGCCAGAGCTTGTGGTCGCAAACGGACCGCTGGCTTCTGGGAGGGTTTGTTGTTATCAGTCTTGCCGGACAAAGACGGAACGCGCTCAGTGGAGCTCACTGACCGCAGTGATTCAGCGTGGAGACTCGCGAATTCGCAAGCCACAGTATCTCCCTACTCCCGATCACACATTCTGTTAAATCGACAATGGAGGAGTTATGCCGGCGCTGGATCATCGAAGATAGGTTTTTCTCGTCGGAAGTTTCCAGGAGGGAGCCTGCGATTGAAAATGTTCGACGCTGAGGAGAATCTTCGTAGAACAGCCCCTCGATGGACTCCTTTAAAATTGGGGTTGAAACCTACGAGGGAGCAAAAACAGTCCCCGAGGATTCAAGAATATTCCCGATAGGAGCGACTGGATCGTTCCTCTCGAGAATCCTCCCAGAGCGCTGACTCATCCCAGTCGAATTCAGAACGATGTGGAAGCCTCAATCGACGCTTGACATCATTCAGAGTAGAGGCTGACGTTCAGATCGCGGGGTCTGTCTCTTCCGGTATGCGAGCCGCCAGCTGAAGGTCTTCTCACAGGATTCGGTCCGAGGAAGGCGAACACACAGTCGAGGACTAACAAACTGCCAACCAGGGACTAGTCGAATTGAACGAGAGCTTCTCACGCAGTCCTTCGAGTACGCGGAGCGTCGTCGAATCTGACTCGGCGGAACGCGAGTAACGGGGACTAGTGGCGGGCGGTCCAACAAGCGGCGTCAAGAAAATTGTCGTGGATACTTCCGCGCGGAATTATGGACTATGACACATAGGACGCGAAAAGAGCTTTGACGGAGGCGCCTCCATGCTTCGCCAGTACCTCTCTCAAAAAGCTGTGTTGCTATCGCCGCCGCTAACACCATTCCCGCAACTCAAGGCTGCTGGTGCCACTGCCGTGCCGCCACATATTGACAACCTGATTACTCTTCTTTCCCTTCCCTCATCCATCAACGGCGCCCATTGTCTTCATGCTCCAATCAGGTTAGATGGAGTCAGTTCATTCGGGGCTTGACCCTCTAAGATGGCACTCATTCAGGGCAGGGCATGTGTGGACCAAGGATACCGAACCTAATCATCGCATCGAGTCCGGTCCCGCAAGGTGAACGTATCCAGCCGTGTATCGAGTCTGTGGTTGTCGAGTCCGCTCGGCGAGTGCCAATTTCGGATTCGTCTAATCGGAGCACGGCATGATCGGATGCGCGAAATCCGCAGAAGGAACGGGCCCATCTCCAGGTCATATGAGCGATTGATCGCCTCGATTGCCACTGAGGCTATCTACAGATCGATCTCGGGACCCTGGGAAACTCGCGCTTCTACAGGTATCTATCCCCTCACTCTGATCAAGTCTCGTTTCAGTGTCACCGTAATCGACGAACGAACTGCCTCTCTCATTCATCGGGATGGATTAGAGAGGTCGCTACACGGAAGATTCTCCCTCGGACACGGAGTTTGGCCGTTCACGGATTCACGACGTTCAGCATTTCACTTTTGGAAAGCAGCTGGCTGTTTCCCAGAATCAAGCACGGCTCACTTCATTGAGCGGAAAACGCCGATCGATTACAAATTCTGAGGGTGACTTGGCGTAGTTAGTATTTTTGAAGGTGGAGCAAGCAACTCGTTCCGGCGAGGGCGCAGCGCACTCCGCAAAAGCTTCGAGCATGGGAAGCAAAAAGATGGGACCATCATCGAGGGGGCAAGACCCCGATCGACCCCCTTGCCTGGAATCCGCCACTCTTCTGAGGTCAAGCGGCGCTACGAGCTCCGCTAGAATCTGCCCAGAAACTCTATCAATCAAATGTTCGTCACGTCGGCGGGGAATCGACATCACGTTCACTCACTCAGTGGCACTCAGAATGATGTCTCAGTCAGAAGAGAGGCCGAAAAGAATTGACACGAAACACGTTATTGCCACATTCCTCGGCTGCGGACGAGCATGAGCACTCATATATCGCGAAGCTCTTGCTCTCAGATATGATACGGTGTGAGTCGGTCAGAGACCTCCGATGGTTCTAGGTCGGCTCAAAACTTGGTCTTGAAATTCGAAATCTTCATTAAAAATAGTCTCCTTACAACGTCTGGCGGGACGGCATAATTTTCCGCTATAACGGAAGATTTTCAGCACTATCTCTGTAATGAGCCAGTCAACGAACGGGGAGCCAAAGCTCGTTGTATAAGGAACGCGCCGTCATGGTTCTCGTTGTAAGGCGACGAACTGTAGAAAACCATGGAATCTCTCGAAATAATGGACCGATGGCTTCACACTCAAGAGACAAATAAATAACTCAGAACTCCCCGTCGGCCTCGGGGGTACGCAGCCCCCTTTCTCTCCCGAGGAACCCTAGAGCTCGGGTACAGTGGAACATTTCTAATATGACCACCGTCTAATAGGACCGCCTGAGGTAAACCTGGGTAATCGGATCAAACATTGGAGGGACCGACTCGATTTGTTCCCAAGTTAGACGACCTGCTCAATGGGACCACCTGAGTTATCGGACCGCTCTTCAGGTGCACCGCGGTTGGGCCGATCAGACAGGTTTCTCTGTACTTCGAAGCATGTTTGGGCAAGGCTCATGACTTCGTATAATATTCTAGGATTCCAGGACCGGGCTCGAATTCGAGAGCATGTCTTCATAACTGTCAAGCTTTCACTGAAGGGCGGAGAGCGGATGTTCGGAACGATCAGCTGAGCAAATGGGATACCTTGAAATTGGTTTCATCTTGTGAAGGATCAGTAAGGTGAACCAGCGGAGCATTCTCAGGAGCATGGTGCACGGATCACGGGACGCCAGACGAGTTCAAAACTCTCGCACTTCCGGACGGCCGTCGGAGACGCGCTCCGCCCGGACAGCAACAGCTTCACGGGAGTGCAGGATATATTCCCGAATACGAAAAGCGACAATCGAAGTCGATCGAAGTGCAGCCTCTACCACCACCCAGACGAGCCGGTAAGCAAGAGAGAAGAAGCCGGCTCGCTTTTGTCTGACAGTCACACAGATTCAAGCGTTTCCCTCAGCCTTAAGCCTGTTCTTGCGACTCTAGAAGGAGGGACCCGGCGTTCTTCGACTGGTAATGCCAGGCTTCTACCCATTGGAATGGTCGAATTCTCTTCCGTGAGCTGTTACCGACGAGCGGGCCTGCCAGACAGCCCGCCCGCCCCATAGGTGCCATTCACTTGTGAAACGTGAACGCTAGCTTGGTCTGCCGTCGGCAGCCGATCACAGGCCAGCCTTAAGAAGGGACATCTTTGTCCTTCGGGACCTATTCACTTTCCTCGTGCATTTCCCGACGGACAAGTCGATTGCAGCAAGCATTTTTGTAAAATTTTCTGACCCCGTCCCTAGCAGCTCCTGGGAAGTCTGGATTGGATACCTACCCACCTCCACCAATCGAGTTCTAGAGTAAGATGGATACTGTGGTGGGATCCGAGCGAATCGGATGGAAGGACAAATCATAGGATCCGTTGGAGAATTCACTCATTGAATCTTTCAGAAGGACTTGTTTTCCTGCGGTCTCTAGCATTGTTCATTCTCGAGTTCTGATTTTTTGAATCCTGTATTCACAGCTTAGCGAATGGAGATGGGCTTAGCCGACGCAGGAAGAAAGCATCCCAGGAGTCGACAGCAAGGACCGTTACGATTCAGGTTCGAGAATGAATCGTAAAACAGGCCTGTGCTGCGCTACTGACTTCGATATCGGTTCGACGGCTCATCAGATTCCCTGATGAACGAGCTAAATAGGATTTCCGGATTGATGCACTGCGCTCAGATCGGCTGGGTACCATCACCACCAGCTCTTCGCGGAGAGGAATCTCGGCCGGCTACGGGAAGAATGATGCGATGTCTCTGGGAGAGCTCGCGCACCGACTCGAGGGCAGTCGAAGAGGAGCAGCCAAATTCGAACCATGCCTTCATCGAAGCCTACATATGATTTGTGGACACTTCTCGCGAGATCGCTTCACGATACTCGCGGCACACTCCAATACCACAAGGAACTACTGGGCTACCGGAATAGCGACAAGAGCGTTCCGCGCTCTATCATCCGAAGTGGTGAACCACGCCAGAAGAACTTCGTAGATCAGACCCGAAACAATGTTTTCCGCCTACAGATCCGACACGGATTGATCCTATAACATCATTGGGCTCTCAATCGCGAGGCTCCGCAACAGAGTCGAGCACGTGAGCACAGATCTGTCTCACGAGCGAGCGGGACCGACTTCGACGGCCCGGCATGTGATACGTTACGGAGTACTTATGAATGGAATAGAGAAACTTACCCCATACTGGCACTGTGGGCTGTCATCCAGTGAGGCCAACTTCACCACTCTGAAAGCCGCGACGACAATGAGCGATTGGGAAAGAGTTTCCGTGTGTTTGTGTTGATATTGGTGCTATCGCAGTTCTCGCAGTCGTCGTCGTAGCTTTCGTAGTCGATATTTCCGTTGGGAGGGCGCCGTCAGGTCGAGCGCCACCTCTTCGCGAAACTTGCGCGATAACTGACCGGAAAAGAGAGGTGGGAACAACTCTTCGGGGAGTCGGCTCGATTTCTGCTCATTGTTGTATACCGGAACTCAACGCTAGGCTCTGCTTCCTCAGGTCTGTCGGCTACTCAGTCAGTCCAATTGACAGAGTAACTTCCCTACCGAGCGACCGACCTTCCGAGCGGGAGACGAGTCCGAAGCACTCGCTGGTTATCGAGTGAGCAAAGACGCTCTACTCTAAACTGTCGTCCTGTCAGACCCGCGCAACTGGGAGGGCTTGGAGCTCTTGGCCACCGGTGAGCAATCCAGCGGTGGAATGTTTCTGCCAGCACAGGGAGTGATCCTCCAAACATGCAGTGCTCCGATGAGTCGTAGTTACATCAAGAAATCAATGGGATTGATGAAGGAATGATCGTTCCCTCTGAAACGGCTGTCGTTGTCTGTCGAGAAGGTGCTATTTCAGAAGTATAGAAATCGGTTGTCGCGGAGTGGGAGCCGATAATGTCGTCAGTGGTCGTAGAGTCGGAATCGCGTGTGCTGTTATCGGAGGAAAAGGAAGAACTGTTCCGTAGTCTCGCAACGTTGTAGTGTTCTGGTTGTGGACATCAGAAGTCTACGTAGCAGCGGCGGTGATGGTGGTGGCGGCAGCAGCAGTAGCGGCAGCGGAGGTGGTAGGCGAAGGAAGAGGAGGACGACGACTGTACGCAATACAGGAACCTCATCACAGCAACTCCACAATGACGATCACACCGTGAACCATGAATTGACTCGGTAGAGTTGGAATATAAAGACGCTTGAAACTAATCATCGGCAACAACTACAGCTTGACTTGCTGCTGCTGCTGCTGATCGAAGCAACGGAGACGCCATCTTGTTTCGGTCGCCACACAGGGGGCGCTACCGCCACCGCTGACCGGGGCAAGCAATAGAGCAGAGAGCGCGAAACTACATTATCCACTCAATAATCATATTGATGGACAGGTGCTCGTTGAACGAGCGACTCGCGCTTGATAGTGAGCTCTACGATCACAGCCATCCTGGATGGGATGCGGAGCGTTGTCTATCTATTCCCTGGTACCAACATGTTTTCCGGAGCTGTAATTCGTATGTGAGCCGAACCTTATGCCGCTCATGAGGAACAGCTCCTCTAATTCTAGGCTGGAATCGCCCACCGTGGCCAAAGGATCCGACCTGAGGGACGGGGATCCCAGAAGGGTATGGACGGGAAACCCAGTTTGACACCGTTGGACAAAACCGTCGGGTACGGCACGGGAGTCTGATTAGGTCGAAAAATCTGTAATGATTGCAACTATTCCGCGCGTCTCTGCCGAATCATCTTCGCTCTTTGAGCTTCTGAGCGAAATATTTATCCACATATACATACTGATAGAGTGATTTAACATTACATGAAGTCAACTGCTAGCCTGGGACCATCTGGATTTGATCCTCAAGGAGATCGAGGCGAGCGGGGGTAGAGGTGAGGATATCCTTCTAGGGAAGCTAGGAGAATTAAGAATCCACTTCTCAATAATAACGCTCTCTTGAGCTAAGAAGGTATCCTCCTGATCTGATAAAGAGAGAGGGCTCGGAATTACAGTGAAGAACGATCAATTACTCGAGCTGAGTTCTCTGAACACGGATTTCGCGGTTTCCCTGCAGCTTCTGATCCGGAACAACATTCTGCGTCGTGGCCCCAACGAATCGCTGATCGTCTTGGACCCCGATGTATTCGAGGTGAGCATCGACTCTGCTCAGTTGTTCTCTCTTCAGGGACCTCGATACGGAGGGAACCTTTTCGCAACAATCTGTGGATGCGGAAGACCGTTCACAACTTTCAGGTGCTACCGAGGAATCTGCATTGCAACTGCTCGGATTTTGCTGAATCGGTCCTCGGCTCCGCTTCCAATGTCGGATGCGTTCATCATCTGGCTGCCCGACTTTATATTGCCATGAAACAAGAAGGATGATCGTGCCACAGTCACCGGTCGCGATGTTAAACCGATTCGAAGCCATGGTTGAGCTGTCGAAACCAAGCGTCACCGGCGATTTCTCCGGTGGAAAGACGACTTGAGGAATTGCAGATACTCGGAATCGAATGAAAAATATTTGTCTTCTCTTTCCATGTTATATCTTGGAACCACTCATCCACGAGAACAGGAGGGAAAAACTCATATACCGTAGTTTGGCTTGCTTTATTCTTTCGGCTCCAACGAACTAATAACACAATACTTTGGATACCTGAGTGAGAGGCCCTCTGATAATGAGTTGGCTTGTAGCACCACAACAGATCTATGAAAACCAGGTTTTCCGCTCTTCCTGAAAGAAGCGTCCCGAGCATCGATCGAGTCACCTAGTGTATAGCTATCGACATTCCAGTGCTAGAAGCTCTCACTTCCGAGTTTTGCTGTCGCCAACGATCGATTCAAGGAATTTCGTCCGGACTCGAAAACTCCCGAACGAATACATCAATCGAAAGGGATAACTATTGTGTGTTTGAGCACGCATTCGATCTCCATTTGATTTCGTACACGCCCTCAGCCGTCGGAGTAAAATTATATTCAGATGATGATGTCATTGAAAGATACACGTGCCGAAACTGAGGCTGGTCCGCAGGCTGCACAGACTCTTCTCTGGGCATGATGAAGCCAGATTTTGTGCGTATAACATGATATACCTAACACATCAAGATCAATAGGTTTCCAGATTTGCCTCGAGTTTCTGGCGGCGACGGATGAATCGAAATCCAAGTTCACGGTACCGCATTTGCCGGCGTTCAAGTCACACCCCGATTCACTCACGGAGAATCGTTCGTTTAACGTGTATTACGCGCCTCTGTATCTGTAGTCATGTCATAAACTCCTGATTATCGGCCTGCATAAGATTTCATTCATTTACCCGTTGCCCATTGTTGAGGGTGATTCTTCGAACTGACATCGTATCCCGAGTAACTGGACACATTTCATCTGAGCTAGGCGAGACGGCGCACCGCATGATCATCTTTCTCGCGGATGCTATGAGCTTGGCAGCGACTCATGGATGGAAAGGCTCACCACAGGATGTCGGATACGTCCCATCCGATCGGCGACGATCCGCTGAACGTTCCGATCATCCTGGGCGCTTGTTTCGGGGATTGCGGTAAGGCTCCCAAAGCAAAACCATCGGGCTATTATGGTCACATCGTCACATCTCACCCGGAACAACTCACGGGCGAATCAGCCTCGAATCGGAATTTTTACATCAAGCGAAGGTTTGCTCTAGAGAAGCATGTACAATGGGGGTGGGAACTTGTACAGTTTGGTGGAGGTCCTGCGATTGACGCGGGAATTCTCGAAAGGTATAATAAAAGGTGGTCGTCGGCTTATGGGCTCCTTATCCGATTCTGGTCGCAAGACATGAGGCCCGGTTGAGCAGAAAATTATATACAATAAATACTGTCGATACTGTGTTGGGGACTCATTGACTGATAATACTCGATGGTGACTCGAGCCTCGCTTTCACCAGTTGTCCAGGAAATCGAAACCCGTCTTCGGAATGTTGTCGTTCGGAGAAGGTTTCGGGGCGATTGACTCCGTGGCAGGGGGGCGGTATTCGATCTTCGGTGCAACCGGCGGACTGACCTATCAAGACGGATGATCTTTATTAGTGCTATCAAGATTATTCCGGGATCGAAATAAAATGAAAATTGATGATGAATTCGTCAACGTTCACAATCTCGGATGTGGGAGAACAGTAGCTGAGGCGAAAAGATTCGTGGGGGGACATCAGTGATCCGATCCTCGTGTGAGATCACTATCGGAGTGAGATCTGATGCTAACCTTCTTCAGTTGCTGAGGGGGTGCTTTTGATTTGGCGTTCTGGAGGAGCGGAGATGATTTGCAATCTAATTTCTCAGGGGCCAGAGCTTCCGGGAGAATATGTGGCTGGTTGGGATCATCCGCTGGGCAGAACGTGCTCCGGGGCCGATCGGGATTCGAGCCCACAGACGTCAACGATAGGGTCGATGAACGTTCGGGTGCCTGAGGCGGAATGGGAGACACCTGCACGGATTGGAGACGAACTATCATTACCAGATTCGATAGAACTTTTGTCCCGCCACTCCGGAGTCTCAGCGAAAAATCATGGGCTCGATGTCGAGGGACATGCGTCCCGCTGTGAGTCTTACCGGAGGTCTGGGTGCTTGGCGTTTTTTTTGGTTGTGCTGAGGTGCCGATGAGGACCGCATTCCCTGACCGTGCACACTTGAAATACTTTCCTGGGATATGGAGTCCAATCGGTTGCCTGTACCAGAGCTCTCATACACAGGAGGGGAATCTTTTTTCCGATCGAGATGCGGGTCTTTCGGAGCCGGCGGCGGTGGTGGAGCGTGTCTGGGTCTCATGAGCGGCGAGCGTCTCCTCTCCGGTGTCGAAGCTCTTGAACTGCGGCGAGATACGCGAGCTCCTGATCCTAAGCCATCGCCATTGATCTCTGGATGATCGAAGTCTTCGGGGGAAGTCAGACACACGAATGGGGGTGGATTAGCCACTATGGGCTCACACGACTGATTATACCAGCTGAAAGGCACCGAGTGTTCGTCCCGCCACGTCTGAAACAAGAATAACATCAAGCCGATCAGCGCCCCGAGTCGACTCATTACGATGAAGAGACGACTTTCCAGTCCAGCGGTCTGGCGGCTGTCCCATGATCATGCATCGGGAGAAATCCAGGTCATCGTTTCAGAATCTCTTAGCCTGTTATCGCGAAGAGGTGGCATCGATGGATTCGAGAACATGCTGAACTCGACCTGGCAGTGAGCTAATCTAGATCATATGCCACCAAGGACGACGGAGAAATTATCGGGGTTACGGTGATGACGGTGATCAGACGAGTATGAGGAGATTCCGATGAGAGATCGCGAGGGAGAAGAATATTTCTGTCAGCTCGTGGATGACTACTCACGATTGGGACCTTCCGGCCATTGATTTCTTCTTCTATGACGACTGAACGAGGCATTGGCTTCGAAGTTGAAATTTCCACCACAGGGAAAGCCTGACTTGCGTCAATCAGACTTTCCATCTGGCTGGAGGGAACGCCCAACGGAGACAGCGCGTCGCTGTCAAGTGATCTGTACCTGGTCACGAAGGGATGACACGTCTTTGCTTAGCTCCGAAATAAACTTCGGTGATCAGGTTCTTGCTTATGGACGCAGGTCAAAACGCAGAGGGGAAACTCTACAACGACTCAATCTTACTTTTGTTCGACGTCATCTGGAACCAAGCTCTCCATAACAATGTTGGACTTCTCTTTCTCGTTCAGATTGTTCCAACTCCGGTGGGATCGCCGCGACGCCAGTGATATACTTTTGACGTCATCTAGTATCCGCGAGGAGGCTGATGACAGTGAGGCAAAATACGAGTGTACCTGAAGGATCGGGGACGATTCGCGACTTTTACACCTGGTCTCGAAGAATTCTGTCCGGCACCGCTATATACAGTTCTAGCGAATCAGTACCAGAGAGCCATCGGATCGCCCCCCGCAAGCGACTAACCTTCTTTGAGATATCAGACGACTCCGTTTTCGCACTCATGGTTTCTCTACTTGCAGATAATTCTTCCTCGAGAGACCACAGCTGAAATTCGAAGCTCAATTCATTATCCGCTCTGATCACGAGTCCAAGTCCGTGCCAAAGGATGACGACGGAATGTTCCCCGTGAAACGAACGCTGGCGACCCTCCTAGATCGTTCGCCAATCGGTGACAAGACGAGGCGATAAACCCCTTCGACGACGGCAGGCGATCATATCATATTGATTCTGATTGTCCACCCAGGAATGCTGCTACGGAGCCTCTCAACAATGAAAGCGCGACAGTCGATATCGGCGCCGCAGAAAAATAAAACGAAAGCGACTCGGAAACACGCGACGCCGTCCGGGACGTATTAGAAAAAAGCTGAAGGAAGGTGTCGGCAGACACTTTTGATCGCTGCTTACGACAGGTTAGTGCCGTTACCGAGACAAACGATCACGGAAGAGGAGCGAGCTGGCGGAATGATCTTGTGCAAATCCGATGCTTCCAGTATGGCTCAGTGTTTGTCTCACGTCTCACACAAGCACGTTGAGCTGAGCAAGCACGGAGAGCATAATCTTTTCATCTGCCATCTCACTCTTCACTGGTCGGACGCGGAGAGAAATCAGGAAGAAGAGGCATGAACCGTCGGACAGCAATCGTGAAATCACGAGGAGAGCTCATGATGGGGAAAACTCGACGATCGAAACGATCGGCAAGCGGAGAAGTAGCGGTACCGTCTCCGGATGGCGCTCGTTTCCGCTCTGCGAGAAAAGTCCGCAGCGATCGATGTACGGCTGACGAACATAAATCCCACGAGAACCGTCACTGGCGTTTCTTTCATTCACGTTATCACTCTCCTTCCGGATTTCACTTTCGTCTCATTCTGAACGAGACTGGGGAGATTTCCTCTCTGAGTAGCTGGAGAAATAGAGAGTCCCGGATTTCTCCGCTGATTTTTGAGGACGGGTCGGCACACTGATCGGGGAAACTTACGCGGTGACTATTTTTCTCGATCGTATCGTCTTGTCGTCAACTTTGCTTCCGGGACGTATGAAGCCCCAAGAATCGAATGAAAGTGTCGCGATAGAGCAGTGTTCGAAACTATGCACAGCGAAGTTCCGCCGAGCGGATTCCCCCACCTTCCTCAGCAGAACTCTGTCACGATTTCACGAAAATGGCATCGCACAGAACTGTAGCACCAAGAGCCTCCAGATGATGTTCATCGTCGAACAGTCACAGTAGCGGCAGCAACGGTTTTGTTTATTGGGTGCGGAGCCGTGTTAGATGCCCGCAACAACCAGGCCCCCGCGCGCATAGCCGCGCTGCTGAACAAGCCACCCAGCCATCCCACTCTGGGACTGTGAGCCACAGACCGACGGCCTCCTGGCTATCGCTCCTACACCTCAAACGACTCCATGGCACACAGGGCGCGGACTGAATGAGCAGCCAGACCCACTGGATGGAAAAAAACAAGCTTCTTGTCTCTCCCGACTCTTCTGATATCTCTCACGGAATTGAACATTTATTCGGAAGAAGAAGGTTGCAGAGGTCAAGGGCTGGGTCAACTTCATTCCGAGCGGGGGGCGCCTGTCGAAGATCGAAGATATCTATCAGGAAAAATGTGTCAATGCGAGTAGTAGCTCGCCCATATGATGAGGGACGGGAGGAAGATCAAGACAGGTGAAGTGAATGCCACAACTCTTCATCCGAGAATTTCTCACTCATCTTGCAACGAAACGTCCTTAGCAGCCAACGTGTCCTCCCTGTCTGAATCTCCTCAACTTCCTCCCCGGAGAAGCTGTGATGGAAGCCTAGTCAGACCGCATTCGCCAAATAGCGGAGCATTCCCGTCCATCATATACCAATTTATTAGAGACTGCTCTTTCATCAAAAGGGGTATGGCCGAGAAGGGAGGGCCGTGTGTATTCGCAAATTTCATCCCCTCGCTGCGCGATAGCAGGAGCAACTGTGGCGTAGTGTTCCTTCATGATTCACGGGCTGGGCTCATTAAGGAAACAGTGAGGACAGGACCCTCGGGGGCCCGGGGAGGAGTTGCTTTGATCCTACGGAAAATATACTCGACATAATGTGCGAGAGTTTCGATCAGCCGTATCGCGCCGGAATTTCCCCTCAGATTGAGAGAGGTTATTCAATGAAGGGGTGGAAAATGTTCTTCGTCTGGCGATGCCTCTAACTTGAACCTTCAGAATGACATCACAATGGGTCCCGAGCACAGTCGGGGACTTCGAAGACGGTCTCGCGCCGGAAGAGGTCGCGGTAGAAGAGCCCCGATTACATTAGCTGAAGACTACCGAAAAGGCTTGATACAGTCGAGCTTACAGTCGGGATACGTGAGAACATCGACGATATCGACCATTTTTTTTCAAACACAACCTGATATTATCGAGGTGTCCCGCAATATATACTATAAAGGGGGTTGATATGATCGAGCTTCTACGGAACGCCAATGGGGTCCCTGGAGTGCCTCGATTCCCGACTGGGCTATTCCATCGTCCACGGAACGGAAGATCGTGTAGAGTCCTCGATGTGTCGTCTCGACCCGCGAGCTTCGACGATGACTGCATCGGAGATCGGGCAGATCTCCAATTTCGTCATGGTGAGCTTCAGACCGGACAACAGGGCATCCCTATCAGTGGCTCCAGATGACCTTCTCGGAAACTTCACGTCATAAAGACCACATCCATGAGGCTCAGAACTGGCTCCGAGGACGGGGTCCTCGGATCATCTTTCAGTGATCCCGAGGACGTAGTACTGCAGAGGCTCCGCTCGCGATGACTCAAGACTGCTGAGGAATTCTTCGCCGCAGAGGATCGCATATCCGTTGCACCGATGCAATCCGTTCCGGTACCAGTCTTCAACATGCGACTTCAAGAGAAACCCGGACTCGGCGATCCCGCACAGGTTCCCCGTACCCGCAGCTCGACCAAGCTGCCCTCCGCTTCAGGTTGAAAGCGAACCAAAGAACCAAAACTCCGTTCGCATTGCTGCCTCGTGACCAAACTGGGCATGAATCGTGGCGGCTGATCGGCAGGGCTCACTGACAGATAATAATTCATCGGACTGATCATTTAAGACTCGATGGCGGCTATCGAACCGAGCGTGAGGTAAGGTCTCCGAAGTTTTCTGGGGATCTTTCCCGACCAGCTCTCCGTATGTCCCCGAGCCCACACCGATAATGAGGACTGGTTGGTAATGAGGACTCAACGATGAGTCGATCATCGATTGGGAAAAAACTTCATTCCTCCCCGAGTAGATTCCGATTATCCACCCAAAATCAGGGCTTTCCACGGACGAGACTTGTGCTAAGCCGTGAATGGTTCATGCTGCGAAGCTGGCTCGATCCCCAGCATAGTTGCCGGAGTACTATAGATTTTGCTCAGGGAGACGTTCTTTATCCCTCTCGCATAAACCGGACCCCCCTTTGCTCTTCCGAACTCAATGCAAGACTTCCCGCGATACCGGTTCGCCGACCGCTACCGAGATTGGCCCAAACATCCTCCCAGTAAAAGCCGGTTGGCGACCGTCCAATCGGAATAGTGGAACGAATTCGAACATGATCTCAATACATGAGAAGGTAGCACTCTTGAGCGAGTGAAGTTCAATGAAGGAGGTGATGGAGTTTTCGTGGTCGGTTCGAATGATAAATGAGAAATTACCGTAGTAATGTGCAGGCGAACTATCGTCAAGCTTCAACCTTCGCGCCACAGAGCGCCGCGCTTCCGTTACAACTTTTTCCCAGCCCATCTTTCCATCAGTCGCACAAGGGTGCGGTACAGAAGGTATCCTGAATTAGACAAGGCGATATAAAGAGGTCGCGATAAAGCGGATCTCATACGGAGTCTAGGATATTTAAGTGGAGTGGACAGCGGCGCAGGTCGCTCACAGCATCGCGGATCAGCAGTAGCGGCGTCTGCTAAATTGGGCGCCAAGCGAAGCTGAGGGCCTGTCAACAGACGGGAAGACAACGGACACACTCTATAGCGGAGACGTCGGTAGTTGAGGTATGTCGAGCTTAAAACCTCCATGTAACTTGTCCATGCGCCCAACAGGCCCTGCCACTGAATAATCTCGTGAGCGTTGAGCGTGAACTTTCTCCGACATAGGCGCGTATGATGGCGATCCGGATGACAGCTGAGCCTTTGGATGCCTTATCGAAGGTGAACGTTCAACAGCTTCCCTGCACCGTCAACTTCTCGGGGAAAGCTTCCGTCGCCCAGAGGTTCGATACTCACAAGGGGAAAACAGAAGATGGTCATAGCAGCGCTTACTTCCGAGGTTACCCCCTCGTGGGGGCTGAAATCGATGTCCCATCTGGGTACAAGTGAGCACCTCTTGGCTTCCTGATCACACCTCTGTTGAATTCGTGCGAGTTCCTCAGATATCCTGGATATCGATCACTAAAGAGATACTTCGCTGCTTCCAGGGGTGTCATTTTCACCTCGACGAGCGACGGAGACCACGGTCGAATTCTCAAGGCGAAGTCTACTTTCGACAAGATGAGCTATTATAACTGGAGCAATAAGCCCTCTGCTGTAGACCCGCAACAGAGTGTAGTTGAATGGTTATCCGTATCTAGAGCGATCCATCTAGACTGAATTTAGCCGCCGTGGAACGAAACATGTGATGGCCTTGTTCGGCACGATCCTACGAACTCCGGACAAGGATGTGAAAACCCTCATGACAAAAGCGGCGGGCCCCGTCTTCATCTTCCTCAAAAGCTCAGTGTATATCCTCTCGATTCTCGATGGGGCAGCCCGAAATTCAAGGTAACCTGTGAGATTCCTCTCCTGTTCGCTTGATTCGCTGAGAATCAGCCAGAAATGAATCGAGGTTTCGCGGGAAAAGCCTGGAATATAGAGATCACGACTGTAGATCATCAAAAGTCATTGTTATGATTGTCTCTTGTTCGGAGCGATCCGCTGCCGTTTCTAAACTTGGTTGAGTTCCTCGGAGAACCGCCGATAGTCCATGGTTATGTCCTAATCTCTCATTGTCAGAATAGTGAATTATATGTATCTGTGTGAGTGCGGTATAACTGTCGCCATCGAATAGATCGCTCTTTCCAGATGTAAACGCTAGGGGTTCTCAGGAGGAGATCATAACGGGCTAGATTTGTCGGTCCGGCTGACGAATTACTTACCTCGTGAAAAATGTTGTTCATTCGTGCCTTATATGAGATATCGAGAACGATAGAATTCGATAGGCCATCCGCTTGAGGCGACGACCGGCCAAAAAAGTGAATCATTCCAATAGAGTTAGAGCTTTTGCGTTCATCTCCTCATCATTGTGTCTACTGTTCTCCCGTATGACAGGCTGCGTTCCATGAACTCGTGGAAATCTGTCCGCGGGCCGCCGTCTGAGCATCCCTGTTGTGCGCCGATCACCGTGACTAACAGAACTCGCAGCTCGATCCCTTCAGACTCGATCATGTCATTCGATCCAAGGAATCAGAGGCGTTCTACGATGCCGGGTCCATTCTATATTCGACTTGTTCCATCCTGTCTCTGCTTATCCGTCGGCAGTCTCAACTTCGCGGACACTCGGATGAGGCTCAGAATCGCTGCTCCTAGACATTTCGCCAGTCCGAAAATGTCATCGCTGAAATCAGGCCAGACTCCCTTTACCCCCTCGCCTACGGCAGCGGCACCTGAGTCCTTCCATGCGCGAGAGCCCATAGGAAGTCCGCGACTGTGCCATGGACCACTTGGGATGTCATTTCGAATGTTCTCTACTTCTTCATTGAAGGAGCCCTCTCATTCAGAAAGATAATCTGGCGCGTTGAGGCCGGTCGATATCCTTGCAAGACACATTGGATATGTTTCTCGATGGGATTACGACTTGCTTGATTCTCATCGACCTTCAGGGCTTCCGGAATCGGGATCCGGGATTCCCGAAAGGTCTCAGGTCCCAGGACCCTCTCTCGCGAAACTCCTGGCCCATAGAGACCCACGGAAGGGAAAAAATGATCAATGAGAAGGGGAATGGTGGATATGGCGGCCTCGCCTACTCCGCTAGAGTCGAACTTGAGCTTGAACTATACCTGTGGTGCGCTTCAACCTCCTACTACATGATGTGTCAGTATCGATCGGAAGATCGCTCGTCTCGGCAACGGCTCTGTGAATGTTCAGCTTCTATCCAACCAAAATCCTCTGATTCTCAAATCAGATGGGTTTTGGCTCGCCGAGATGATGTTCCGACGCAGGATACGGATGAGTTTCCCAGAATCGAAGAGCCCGATCGAGGCTCCGAAGACCCGTGGACGGGATTCCGATCATAATCAGCTGGCTTCCCTGCAACTTGTCTCTCATCATCTGGGTATCTTGGGAGCTTGACAGCCTCAACCGTGGAGTCTCACGGATCCGATGAAGAGAGGCGCCGAGGGTCTGCGTGGCCTCTGCTCGATATTTAGTATTGGAGAGTTTTGGAACCGCGGTCAAATCGTGTTATGCAAGTGATTTTCAGCCGACAGTCATGCCTCTATCGGCCGGGGTTTCTCAGGGACCTGACCGGAGAATGAAGCCGCGACCACCAATGTAGCAGGAGATCGCGGCGGAGGAGCAGGAGTCGAATATTGTCGGATTTGGATCAGCGACAGGTCCTCTATATTCACAAAATCGATAGTAGGGGGCCTTACTCGACATTCCTGTCGCCATACATCTCATCCCAGATATGGATCGGATCCGCTCCGACCAGCCGCGGCTTGGCTCGACTCGTGTCGCGCCCCCGTTCTCTACATAGGTTAGGACTCCCAGGAGCTGAATCCTGCTCCAGGTCTGCTCCTGATCTTCAAGAGAAAATCAAAAATACCGCACCTATTTATCTCGATTTGCGAAGCGATATGCACCGCTCCTAAGAGAATGTTCCTCTGCGAATTTGTTCCCCGCGGATTTCGCCGACCGCAAACCCCAACATCTGTCCCGGTCATGGGATGCTCGAAGGATTACGCTGTGCCCCGGAATGCTGAGTGAACCAAGTTTGCGTGAAGGCAAAAACAGCGAGCAATGTGCTCCTCGGAATCTCACTGTCGCATCCGATGATCTATCGGGGGGGAGAGGGGGCTGTTCTGAGATTTCCTCGAGATCGGCGATCGATGCATTCGGAAACGGAGGAGACGGCGAACCGATCTCCACAGGTCCTTTCTGTCTGCGGAGCATGAGGGACCATTGGAGTTCGCTCCCAATGACCGCCCGTTTGACCGATTTTCTCAAGTAAAGACGTAGAAATGAATAATCGGCGATTTTCTCGATGGAAAATTCAAGACCGGACGCTGCGCTCGATTTCTCCTCGAATCGATGATGCTAGACGAATGGTTTGAACAACTTATTGATGCCATGCAAGATAATGGACTTTCACCCCGGAGAGGCTCTCGTCTTTCTATGTAGAAGATTGACCAATTCGATAATAATATGCTGAGAGAAATCGACCGCTCCCAGATTTGAATAAGAGGTTCCGTAAGATGTGAGCTATGGGAAGACTCGCCCTTGGAGTACAGGATGGGCGATCTCGTCGCCTACCATTAGGCACTCGGAGGGCCTCAATTCGCCTGCCGAGTAGGGGCGATCACGAGTATCGCAGTGGGGGACATCATGACATCGGAAATTCTAACGTTGCGGGGCAGGAAATTGGCGCGGTTTCCGCAATACGTGTTGATCAAAAGAAGAAAATTTCCCAGAGCCGCACCTGAACGTGGAGACGACGATTCGAACCTCCGTCGTCATTTTATTGGCGGACCAGACGACAATAAATCATATCGGACGCAGCGAGTTCAGCAGGGCACTCGGAGTCCTAGGGCTGAGCGTCGCTGAGAGGCTCTGTAAATTCTCTGAGACTTATCTTGAAAATATTTTTGACACACGCGAGGATCCGTGTCGCAAGAGAGCCCCCGTCGGGGCTCTGGCATGGTGTAGGTTGGGAACGCGCAGAGGAGGGGCTGCTCCCAATCAAAAGGTCAGCCCTCACACGGAGAACTGAATGGATGGAAAGTTTGAGGCCTGCTCGACCGAAAAATGTCCGCTCACTGATCTGCAGATTGTCGGGCGCACTTACGCGGAACACAAGCAACCCGAGGAGGGAAAGAGCGAGCCTCATTTCATGGTCAAGTTTAGAAGCGAGAGAAACGAAATGTAAGTCGGACAGACGACCGCAGTTGGAAGTTGAACCGGTCTCTCCGGGGCCGACCATCTGTGATCCCTGCCAGCGGTGTGCCTGCCCCTACATGTTGCAAAAACCTCAAGTATGTAGAACTAGTGCGAGCATGAAAAGTGTCAACAGAGATGGGGTTGCGAGTATCATGCCTCGGGGCACTCTCCCGAAGCTCTAATTCTCTGCGGAATTTCGCACGTGCGAACTCGTATCATCCGGTTTTGAATCGACTCGCTAGCCAAGCGGAAGGAATTACCTCATTGCAACAAGCACCAGCCGCGATTCTCGTGGCTTGTTCGTGCTGAGGAGAAAGAAGGGGTAAATCGGCAGGGGCGGCTCCCGAAATTCTCGTCGGCAGCTCCCATACTAGTAGTCGAGACGACTTCTGTAAGCCAGCAAGCCGCGCTGTTTCCGACCGCTCAGCGAACCGAACAGCCGGGCAGACAGGCAGCCCGCCGTCCGTTCATCGCTGGAGCGAGCTAGCAGCACAGTGTTAGCTGTGGCAAACGGAGTCCTTCCGCAATAGCCTTCGTTGGGGCTGAACTTTTTCTCTGCCGTGCTTCTACATTCCACGCGTAACAATATGCGAGAAGTTACCGCTCAAGCTTCGATGGTTGTCGTTTCTGTGAGAGGGGCCGATGATTTCGGACTGATCCCGGAAGACTGCGATCTCTGGAGTCGGTAAGCTGATCACCAAGTCTTCCGCGGAGTACATTTTGGATATACCGCTTCTCTCGACGTGGATGGCCCGTAGCGATGTGGAATCGGCCTCGTTTTATGCGTTTCGCTCCCTCGGCCCGAGCCTCCCACCTCTTATAGCAGAATAACTCCGACTAAGTCCATATCTCATGGGAATGATCAAATCCGAGTTATCTCAAGAGGATTCCGCGGAACCCGTCCCCCGCGGCAGTCCGACTCCGTTCCGGAGCCCGGAGCTCGGAGCTCGGAAGATCGTAATACGTTGCCCCATGTTTACGCTTGAGTCTTGCGGCCGTGGACATCTCCGCGTCGTATATCGTAGTCATTATTGAGGCAGAGCTCGGACTTCATGCGGAATGCTTGTTTTTCATATAAACGCAATTTCTGGATCTCCCCTGCTGAAAGGCAAATTTCGAGACTTGGCTGCATGAAGTGCATATTCCGACATTTGATGCTGCGTCCCCGTATCGGAGTCGTCGGATGCTTGCGCTGAAACTGCCCGATAGGGGCACCGGGGGGCAAAGAAGTCCCGCTCGTGCAGAACCTCGGCGTTTTCTATTTCCTTTCTCCTCATGACCTATAGTCCGACAGGAGTAAGAATTCGGATTCGAGTCTTGATCTGCTCTCATTCAGCCTGAGTCCTGAGCATGACAATCTTAAAATCTCACATAGAAGTGGCCCGATTTCGACGGCACAGCGTACTATCTCAGTCTTGTTGAGTCGTCGGTCTCCAAACTTTTCTTTTCAGAGAACAACCCAGTTTATTATAGTCTGAAGTATTTCATTAATAATCATCCACGAGGGCAAGCCCGGCAAACTCCTCGAGTATTCAGATACTCGGGTATAATACATCCTGCGATCGACTACATGATCCCATTTTCGAGGATTTCCGACGAGACTGTCGTTCGGGCACATCTCCCGCGCTATATAGGTTATTTAGGCTATTTCATGTGGGACGAGCCATTTTGGGTGCCCATCCCAACCGTTTTTAGTTCATATTTGCATGAACCTATTCTTCTTGCACAATGCATGTTCATTTTCACATGCTTTTTGATTGTTAGGAAGGCTGAGCTCTAATTATGTGTTTGGGCGGGTTTCCTGTCAGAGTAGACTTTTCGGGGTCACGACTCCTCTTTTCGCCAATGTTCGTCCCATCGTGAACAGCTTCGATCTTTGCGAGGTTCGTTCCTTCGTTAACCTTGTCCAGTCCCACACAGATGAGCCAGGACAGGGAAGTAACGCAGCTCCGCGTCAACGACCCTCTCAAGGAGAACTCAGTTTCACCGGATGTCGGTACTTGGTGTCCCATAACAGACAGCCCGCTTGAGCACTCTGACGATAGCCTGGCTAATCGTAGGCGCGACGCTATGCTGCATAGCCTGCCATCGTCTCCAAATCGAGTTTGAGTTGAGATCTGGATTCCGCATTGTTGCGCTTCCATTCGATTGAGCTAATTTCCAAATCCGGTCTACTCCGCTCAATACGGACTAGCAGATAGCAGTGTGTTCATGAAAAGATCTCGAGGCCCCAGGTATGAATGAGGGTATTCCCGAGTTCACGGTAAAGGAACCAAGATTATCCTTCTGGTGGAGCCGTCGCGGGAATCCCGTCCAACTTCGGAGCTATCGGACTTTTTCGACTCACAGGATTCCGTTCTACGAGGAGTTGACTGTATGTAGATACATTGACTGCGCTAGTCCCGATGAGCTTCCCGTCTGAGTATGACTCCGGAAGGAGTGTCAGGAGTAGGCGAGGGGAAGAATAAAGAGCATGCTCGCAGAGGGATTTGCATCCTCCTTCAATGCTGTCCCTTTCCGCTGTCGTTGGGTGCACGCACCCGCTTCGTTCTCGGTCCTATCCGCCTCGTGCAGCAGCTGCCGCCGCCTGTACGTACTGTCGATAGCCAATTGTCGACGCCGTCATTTTGTTCGGAGCCTGCCTCCCCTTTGGTCTCTTTGGTTTTCGATTCGTTTCCTCTCCACTCTGAGAACAGTGGCTGACTCAAGGAGCTTCCGCTCCGTCGAAGAACTAAATCCTCTTCGGAGAGCCTCGCGCGTGCGCTGCTCCAATTCTCCAATTCTTTTCTCCGTTCCCCTCCTCTCCGCGACGGCAGCGGTAGCTTATTTCCTCGTGCGGGAGTTCGTCCCACGGTCCTTTGCCTGGCTGATCGGTCGGTCATCATCCGAGTCCGACAGTAAGCTTTGCTACCTCCGATTCCCGCTCGAAACTCACTAGAAACCATCGACAGACCAGCATGCGGAAAACGATGCGTGGGACAGAATTGGACCAATGTTATTATATTCAAATTTTTTCGATCTGATCCACGATCGATGTATGTCCTGTCACAAGTTCGGAGGCCTTCTCTCTGCCGCAATTTTTGTCTGTATGGTGCTAGATGGCGGTGGTTCCAGCGCTTCCCGGTGCCAAAGCGGGATATTCTAATCCAGAACGGATGCATAAATTCCTCGAAGAACCCCGGTGTGCAAATGGAAGACGAGGATCCGATCAGTGATGGGTCCCATGATTCTACTCAACTACCTATCCACAATTGGATAAGAATTTCTGGCCGAATCTCCGACTGTATCGCGTTCCATACCTCCTCTCCACCTGGAAGGCGCAGTGCACGGGGTGGAACGATCGGTCTCGATCCAACTATCTTCATTGAACACTCTGGGTTGGCTGCTCGGGCAGTGGCTGTGAAGAGGGTCTTCGTGTTTGGCGGTTGCACCACGTCGTGTTCGACCCGAACTCCTTCCTCACTGAAGGGGCCTGCCGCTGCGCTGGCGGGGTTGTCGTCTCGTCAAGCCCGAGCCGAGAGATTTTGCATTGCTCCTTCCAAAGTGGTTCGCGATAAAACAGAGAATCCCCACGAGACCAGGGAAGGGTAGCGCAAATGTATATTTAACGAGGTCGCTTGCAAGCCAGTCGGTGCACGCAGGGTGCCAGTTTATTCTGTCCTGCGAAGCCACCCGGTCGCCCGAGACAAGTGACCGAAAGTCCTTCCGTTCAGCTGAGCGATAGACTCGCAGCCATGAATACTAGACCCTGGCTCCCAGTAAGAAGTTTGGACTTTTGCGCACTATATTCTTCTCCCTTCCTGCTGGCTCGCTCTATTGCTCTATTTCAATGAAACTTCTGTGGTCATTCTAATATGATCGGCAGCGAAGACGAAGGCAGGCGGATATTCAGAAAGAGGGAGCCCTAGACTGCCTCTCTGGGAAAGTTAAATGACCTTCGATCGGGGGCAAGCAGACAAAAAAAACATCATTACAATCAACATCTGTTTATTCCTCCGCCGGGTTGTCTCGAAATGCCTAATGTCTATGTTCATATCACTTTCAGAGGGATATATCCCGCCGACTCTTTGTTAATGCTTCGCACGTGTGCACTCTCCGCGGAGGAGCGCGGTTCTCTCTTGCCGATGGGTAACTGTTCGGACATTAATATCACAGAGATGTTTTTGTCAGAGCGAATCGGGAGTTTCGAGAGTCTTTACCTGTACGTGAGAGTCTGGGCTAGCGCAGAAAGCGGTGAATGGCCCACCTTGGATAGCTTAATGGTACTCTTCATCATGGTCCGAGAGAGTGCGCAAAGCGACCGGCTAATTCACGGAGTCAGTCAGTCGGACTCTCCAACCTCGAGAATGTCCGCGAATGATGAAATCGCCGGCGCTTAGCAGCACGACATTGTGACTTGTGAAGCGCAGCCAAGTTCCCCGATCATTCTACTCGAGCTGGAAACTCTGGCCTGACTCGGGCTTGTCTGGGGAACATTTGCGAAACATAAGTGGGAGTTGCTCAGGCTCGAATGACGAATTCAGGTCCATGATGACAATCGGGGACACGATTGGCTCAAACTGTCGGTTCGACGACGCTTTGAAGTCGGGGTTCGCAGTTTCGTTGAAATGTCCGCCGGCTTCCCACCGGTGGGTATGTGTTTGAACAAGATTCACGTCCCTGGCCCTCTCTCCGATATACAGAGAGCTACTGGAAACAGAGCAGCGAGAAGAAAAGAAGTGAGAGGGAGAGGGGATTTGAAAATACATTCCTCGTGTCCGAGTTCCCAAGGCTCCGCTTGGCGTCGCTCACCCGATTCGATAACTGGATTCCTACTCCATACAATTCCCGTCATACCAAATAGAACTAAATACCGAGCAGAATATGATGAATGGGTTTTACAAATGAGCTGCTCTTCCGACAGACTCCCTTTTTACAAAGTGGACCCAGCACTGAGCTCGTGCCGGGCGGGAGGATCTCCGAGAGGCCGAGCATCGACATCGCCTACGCTAGTTCGGCGTCGAATACACCGACAAAGTTGTTGACTAAAGGCTAGAAGAAAAGTTACTCTCCGGTCGAGCGTTCAGAGACACCACTTGAGCTTCCTGCGCGTATTGCTCTGCTCGGGCAAGCTCATAGCCCATTTGCGGAAACCCGTGAAAATCACGCAGGTCATCACCAAAATCACACCGGCAATGGTCACAAGATCCGGAATTTCTTCGAAGAACAAGACTTGCCAGATGAATACGAGTACGATGTCGACAGTGGCTCGCATCACGGACACTGGTCCAGCTTGCTCAGTGCGTAACGAGAACGTGAGCATCAGTTGTCCGAAGAAACTGAGAACGGCGAGAACCACGAGTAGACCCGCGTCCACGAGATTTCTCGGTGGTACCAGCTGCCCGTGGATGATGAAGGTGGCGACCGCCGATAGAATGAGCGCGATCCAACCGAAGTTGAACATGATAACGTATGGATCGGTTTCTTTCAGCTTGCGCAGCAAGATAATTACTGACGCGGCGAAGACGCAGGACGACAGCGCCGCAAGTATTCCATAGAGTCGCAAATTATTCTCGCCGACTATGAGTTGAGCGTCGTCGGGATTCCCGAACAGCATTGGGAGCTTGCTTATCATGGCTATCCCGAACAGGGTCAGGAAACAAGTCACGACGTGGAAAACGGAGCAGGCTTCTTTGAGGAAGATCCGCGCCATGACCGTGACGAAAATTGGCACGGAAAATATGATTGTTGAAGCGTCTCCGAGCGGCATGTGCTGGAACGCGAAGAATCGGAGCATGAGACTGATGGCTCCTGCAAGCGCACGTACCAGCATCATCCATCGTGTCCCTGGCGTCCCGAAAAGCGGCTCGCTCCTGGTTATTGCGGCCGGCAGCGACAAGAGAAGAATGCCGCAGAACCTCACGCTGGACAGCTGAGTTACGGGCATGTACTTTAAGTTCTTCACAATAACAGAGCAAACCGAAAAGAACAGAGCCGACATCGAAGCGAATAGGAGCCCTTTCCACAGCTGCACGAGGGACGGTTGACCTATGATGTGGTTTGCTTCGACATCGTCATTTGTGACGCTTTTGAGCTTCGGCTGCGTCTGTATCGATGAGTCAATGGCGACTATATCGACGCGCGACGTCTGCACGCCTCGGTCGTACATTTTTCGCCGATCGGTCTGAGTTTCAGTGTCACACAGCTCTGGTTCGGGGATCGCCAAGGGAGCGCGGGCGACAGGCTCCTTGAGCACGAGCTGGAAGGGATTCCCGATTAGGGCGGTCGGCGACGATGATAGGCACGCGAGCTCGATGGGTTCCTCCTCAGGAATGTCCGAGTCAGCGGAATCCTCGGCGATACGAGCGCTCACTGCCTCCGGATCGAGTTCGACCTTGACGAAGTTTGGCTCCGGAAGCGGGCTGAGCGTTTGAGCAACCTGAGGAACTGGTGGTCGCGACGGATGTAGCCGCAATCTGCAAATACCATCGAGAAAATCAGACATGTCTTCGATCGCGTCGAGAAGGCGTTCTTTGGTCAGAATTGGAGGGTCCATCTCAGCATTTCATGCTCTCAAGCTAGACAACCTTCCGTCTTGCACATGTTCTCGTTCACCGTAAAACAATCTCCGCGCCTCGTGACATTACAAGGGAGCTTTGCGGTCGATTAAGAACTGATCTCCCCACTGAACTGCATCGAATCAGAGGCGCAGAGCATCATTTTCAACTCTCCTGTACGTGGTGTACATCGCCACTGAGCTGAGCGCTTGTTTCCCAAGCACTATTATGCACAGTTGATTCATTCTGGGCGAGCTCATACAGCTCTATGGCTCTAAAACAGCTGACTTGTTGACTCCGATGCGATGCTCAAAAATTCCTCCCAGACGCCGATCGGCGGCCGCCGCCGTTTCATCAATAGTCTCCAACGTCACTGGATTATCGCGGACACGAAAATTCCATTATCACAGCTCAATCATTTTGCCGCTGATGGTAAGCAGCGACGGGCACACGAAGAATGACTGAGATTGCGTCAACCATGGGAGAAGTAGACAGACTCTAAGGCCTTCACTGACTACGACACTCGGTGTGTGTCCACACACCCGGACCGTGAGTGTCTGTATGTTCAGCTCAGCAGTAGGACCAGCGAGATGAACCGCGAGACCTGCGGCGAGACCACGATCGAGGAGACGACCAACCCATTTCTCGGGAGAATCGCTGCGGTCTGTAGAGAATAGACTATCGGAAAACTGACCGAGAGAGCTACCGTTGCCTGAGCATATGCTACAAAAATATTGAATGGCTCGGCTTTTCCACAGCGCCCCGACCACGGTCTCGGGACGCTTTCTGAGCTACCATTCAATAGCGTACTTCTCTGAAAGTTCGAAGCCCATGCCAACTCAGAGTGTGGCCGAGGCGGTTACGGAAGTACGGGCCTCATTGACATGTCCCACATTCGCTTGTGACTATGACTTGGATATGTGGCTGATTCCGTAGGGAATCCGGGAACGACCTATCCGGAACCTTTCCTTCTTTCGTCGCCCGATAGCGAATGGACTTCCCTAGGGGAGCAGAAGCAGCCGGGCAACATCGTCGCGGAAGACACATCCTCAGTCATCTAGAGTCTAGAGAATCAGCAAGACGGGAGTAGTCCAGAGAATCATGAGAATGAGATATGCGTATCATCATCATCTCGAATCCAAAGGATCTTTCAAGCTGAGATAATTTCGGAGCTGAGAGAAAGACCGTGGAATGCATCATTAGCACAGAGCTAACGGAAGATATGCCAAGAGCCCTAGGTTTTCGGGAATGCGTGCCGAGGGCACTCGGACACTACATAACATGATCATTGCGCCTATCTGGGCCTTTTCCTCCCGGGAGTGCAGCGTCGGCTTCCGGCACATCGATCGCAACCGAGAGGAATCGGAATTTGCCGTGAGGTCCGACCCTCGATTTCATCGGAATTCGGAAAAAATTCACCCTTTGGGATCCCTGGACCTCTTTGATAGTCTTGAGCGTCCTGAACCCGTCTCGTGGTCGCGCTAGCGCGTGGCAGGTGATACAATCAGAGCTCTGTTCCTTCGGAAAGATTTTGACAGATCCTTTCCCGAGACGAGTGCACCGACGAAGTGAAGCCGTCCCGGAGAGAATGAGCATCACACGGAGATCTCCGCTCCTCTGAGAGTGCGGAGTTACCGTGCGAGGATCTTAGTCGGAATGTCTCCGGAAAGCCCGGGAATCAGGACAACTCTTCTTATTCCGATCCGATTGACATAGAGCTACCGCGCGGCGTCTCCCATCTCCCAGTTCAATGTTTTCGGCATCCTGAACGGAAGGAGAATCCGAATGATGTCAAGAGATGAGATTCAGAATTCGAAAGCTTTGTCCTTTACCGGCAAAAAGTACAGGAGATCGTGGGATTTTCGCAGATTGGAGGATCCACATATTTCCTCATGTATCCACGTATTTTCTTCCATCGTCCAGACTTGACCTAGACGGGCACAGAGGGGAGCTCCCAAAGAAGATTCTGATTCAGAATCTGGTCCCTATGCAGATGAATAGGATCAGCGCTGCACAATCACAATCACACCGGCCACAGAGACGGCGCGATCTCGCAAGAGAGACCTTCCACAATCGCTATATGATTGAAGGAAAATCAGGGAGAGCTCACCAGGAATACAAGGCCGCACCGGAAGCGAACCTCAGCACGTGATCTGTGCGAATCGATCGAGATTTCAGATGGTTTTGAGACCCATCCTCGACAAGTTGAACGGCGACGACAAGTAACCTCAGATCGTTTAGACGTGGAAGAATTCGACGCTCTACTCCGATCGCATGACTCAATGAATCCATTCGCGATGCCGCGTCAGAAAGTGAGAGGCACCTGAGCGGGTTTCGTCATCGCATCACTATGCGAGAAAATGCTCACGGAACAGATGCAGAGGAGAGTGAGAATCTAGTAGACGACCGTGATAGCTGCTAAGCCCACTGTGCCATATGCACCGCCAAGATTTGGCGAAAAACTCCTACGCGGACTCAACTGAATTCAGAAGCGGAATCCGAGGTGAAGGCGTCATGTTCATGAATTCCAGGAAATCAGTCTCATGAGCCGCCGAACGGCATGTCACAGGGTGATTCGAGGCGATCACGACACAGTCCGATCATACGGATCAAATCCCATAAGATTCGCTCAACTGACGTCCCAGCTGGTATTACGATAGCAATGCCCGATCGATGCATGATGTTCCCGGCAGCTGTTCATACACACTAGAATCTATTCTACACGGCCGATAGAGAAAATTTCTGTGAAAGCTCATCGAACGAATCGCCGGGAGATCGATGGTCGGCTTCAAAGCGGATTCTCTTTCGCACTACATAGGTGCTTCTCCTCCTTGGAGGGACGATGCCAAACGCGTAAGGGGCCGGTCCGCGGATGGACACTTTTCGGAAGGCGGAGATTCTCCTCGAAGTCTCCTATCGCTTCCCTTGCGGGTGCTCGCCCGCTAGGATGCGGTCTTCTGATGCATTGGAACACGCATCGCCAAAAAATCTCGGGACGAAACTCGGGAACTCCGCTGCACCTGTTCGTGATATGGTTTTCCCGGTCGCGAGCTTCGAATCAAATGAGTATTGGAACGAGCTGGAACGCGAACAAGGTGTCCATCTGTCACAATTCATGAGAGGACCGAATCTCCATAGCTCCTAATCCAGAGATTCTATATCACGATTTCGGGTAATTCCATGAGGGTCCGGCTCTGACGTAACGTAGTCTCACGAAGCGCTCGCCTTCCTCAATGACCATCAATGTAGGTCGGGATACGTTGAAAAGGGAGCTTCTTCATTCAGAGTCACGGAGAAACCATATTCAGACTTCATTCTGAGGCGAAGGGTCCGGAGCTCATAAACTACGGAATGCATAGCCCCCCCAGACGAATTTCATATATGTATGAATTCCTTTGCCAGTAAGGCGCACCGTTGAACAATATGGTCGGGAATCGAGCGAAATCGATTAATGGGATTCAAGAAATTTCATATGGCGTAGGAGACGATCAGATCAAGGCATTTGATAAGGCCTGCACCCGCTACTCGAACTACGTGAGACGTCATTCGAAAACACTTGAGTTTCCCACTCTGAATCCTCCCAAGACCACAGATAGAACAATACTCAAGGATTGTTTCAGTCAATCCAATGTAATCTCCTCGAGTGATCCACGTCCTGCGCGACCGCTGAGCGGCATCGGGAGCGACATCCGAGCGCGCGAACATTCCTTCTATCGGAGCTCTTGAGACACATGGTCGGGAATAACGAGTCATCTGATTCTACAAGGAGGGGTCGAGAGCTACCGCACGCTTGCGTAGGGCAGCGAGAGAGATATTGACAAGTAGCACGAGACTAAGCCGGTTCTGCTTGGTGCCTGTGACTGTAGCTTTGATGGACAATTACTTTCTTTGAAATGCGAAAAAGTTGTAGTACTCACCCTATTCACGTTACCCGAGGTGCGATGGGCTCTCTTCGTTTGCAACCCATCTCAACTGCGTGTCGACTTTAAATACTCTCTCCGAATCATCTGTTCATTGAGAAGGTTTCTCTCGCAACAGGGTCTCACCATCGCTCCCAATAGTACAAGTCCCGAGTCCGCTCCGAAAGTTTTCGCAGAATGCTCAAGGATCACGTGGAGACACCGCAGTCTGTTTTCAATGGAAACTTTTCGAGCTCCAGGCGTCGCCATGCTAGTATCGGAGATCCTTCTCTCTTTTCCTATTTCTGGAGCGCAACACCGTCCTTGATCCGATCCGGAAGAGAGAGGGAAAAGAGACTTAATTGTTATCGCTCTGAGTTAGAATCTGCCTAATCCGAACCGCTCCCGATTCGTGACGTATTTTCGGCTTAAGACGGCTCAAAAACACATGAATGAATTCCATTGCACCAACGTCTGAAAAGCGACAAAAGCCTCGAATGTATCATCTCAGGCCTCGAGAGGGATGGTCGCTATACGCGCGCTGACGGGCCCGATTTGAGGCGAGTGCGGGGACTCCAGAATCGTGTTATCGTACGCAGCTGAATCGAGAGCATGCGAGGAAGCAACGGGGAAGATGGTCGATTTTGATTCCTTCCGGTGATTTATGATGGAGAAATCTGTCATCACGACCCTCGGAACCCCAAGAACAGCTTTTCGTTTCGCCCGCTTTAATCGTCCGAGCGCGGAATCCCGAGGATGGCCCAGGCCTAGCGGAGACGGGATTCCAGGAGGGCTACATCCCGAAATTACATCAGACGGTCGAATACCTCGACAGGAATCGACCCCTATCACGCGGTTTCAATTGGGGCTAGGAATTTCGAAACACTCAGGCGTACATCCGGCTTCAGACTCGGGAATGCAAAGAATGAAAAGAGACATTCTCGTCGCATCCCACCTATTGATGATCCAGATCATATTCGAGGTTCGCATCTTCTCTACACTAATGGCAACGGTTGAAAATATTCGATCGACTCGCTGACCTGAGACTGAATCTACAAAATCGGAAACGGAATGTTGCCTGATGTGGGTGGGGGGAGAGAGCATCACCTTGCTGAGCGAAGCCGTCACCCATTCGGGCTCGCCCGCATGAGCAAACTCTGTGTTTAAGATCCCAAATGAAGCGCCGATCGATGCTGATGTGAGCAAATTGAATCAAAAAGCATTGATCTCCCCCAAGCATTCCTCTTCATCCGCAAACACGCAGCCTATACTGCTTCGCTCGCTCCGAATTCAATCTCGGACGGCTAATTCTCAGGCCGGTGCAATCGACATCGTTTCGGTAGCCAAGCATCCGAACGAATGCCGCGCGTCGTCAGAGGTCTCCTCAGAGCACCGAACATTCGTAACTAAGGGCGAAGGGTCTTAGCACATATGCGGCTCATTCATCGGGATTCTTCGGTTGCAGATTCCGAGCCGTGACCTACTCGTGGTGAGTCCTCCCAGTCCGTGCCTCGGAACCACTTCCTGATCCAATGCCCTCTCCTCGGATGGACCTCATCAGGTGAGTCGAGAGCCCAATGTTACTTACGGTGCGTCTCTCGAACGCATAAACACGGCTTGACTAAACGCTCTCGTCAACTCATCCTAATGACCACGATGATACTGGGTCCGAGCGCGCCTAGCTGTTCCCACATCGCCGAGATATTTGAGTAATCCCGTCATCCGTGGACATTTGGCTCGATAAAGCGACCACGGGGTCGTTCCGTACGCACTCGAACTACAGATGACAACCGACCTAGGTGACTGAGCTCAGGTCGTTTTTTTAGTTCCGATTCAATTGCTGGCGAAAAGTATACAGACACGCATTGGCGAGTAGCGATTCAGCTTATCTATTCTTCAACCGTTTACCGTCAGTTCACCGGGAGCAGGCATCTTGAGTGCAACGACCGAACTGGAAAATTATCCGAGTGATCTTGTAATTCATCCGTCGAGCTTCGAGCGCGGTCGACCTACAGAACACAATGGCAAATAGCAGCTGCGCATCCATAAAATCCAACTAGCGCCGTTCACTGCTGTGTCTTTAGCCTCAGCCGATGAGCAGAGACGCCAAGCCAGTGATTAGAGTCTGTCGACCCGGATTCCGGTCGATCTAACTTTCCAAAATGAACGGGTCGGAGTCGCCTGTGAAGAAAAAGTCACGATCATACCTTCGGTACAGAGCCCCCCCCCGTACCAGCGAACAGGTCAGATCTCCTCCCGTCCTGTCTACGCTGACCTTTCTCTAAATACCGAGGAGGAAGACTCCGTGTACGAGTCCTCGGACGGAGAATCCGATTTTATGGAGTTCGAGAAGGAGCCGGCCGGCGCAGTGTGGAATGAAATTCGCTATGAGTTCTTTCTAGTCCCTGACTCTGAACTAACAACCTGATATCCACTCAACCTGCGATCCGACAGGAAACCAGAAAAGCGGCTGCTCGCCTGAAGCATGCGCCACGGATAAATGTAGGCGGACCGAGACGGCCCGCTCAACGGCATTGTATACACGCATTCTGAAAAATGTGATTTCCTTCTAGCTCTCCGGCAAAACTATACGAATCCGGAGTTGAGCCATTAATGCCTCGGGAACGAGTCCCCGTAGTGGGAGCTATGATTCGTTTCCGGAACCGCGCCTCGTCATCGCTATCTATGATGATTCCACACACACGTAGTACATTTTAATCTCTGTCAGAGCTCATTCGGTCCTTACAGCGGGAAACACCGGCCGCGGATGAGGGCGGAAGGTTCGTTGTCTCGCATGGTCGATCCCAGCTGAGGAAAGCCTGGATCCGGCGAAAGATGCTCGGTCGATGCTCAGAAATATTTCCATCATAGGAATTTCAATGAGAATATGTCGCCGAACATAAGCTTCCCTGAGTGAGGGACATCAATGTTTCGTTTTCGACTTTCGTAGTCAGCCGGGGGTCTTCACGCCTGAAGGAGAAAACGTCGACAGCTGGTCTCGACGACAGCCGTGACTTTGTAAACGCATTTGAAACACGCCAACACACCTCGCGGCGACAAAAACAAAACACAAAAGTGGAACTCCAGCCCGCTAGCGGGACGTTCCAGAGCATACTGCCCCAAACACGTTCCTCGTACGCCAACGAACTCAGAGACCGAAATTCCCTCTCATGTCTCTGTGAGCGCGCATGCTTTGTGGCTATCGTTCAAACATCCAAACATATCTGCCACCTGGGAGCCATGAAGCGCGGTGTGAGTGGACACGTATGGATTCTGATGGACAAGATCCGCGGCGGGGACATTTCTCGAAGGAGATCTCATGCACCTATTTTTTTGGTCGTGCTTCTCATCCGCTCAGAGATCTCTGAGTAAGTGTGTTTTCTCGCTACGGATGAAACATTCGATCGGCCCAAATAATCGGCAGCAGGAGGCGACCCAAGGATGAGAAAGTAAACAGCGCGGTACAGTCACATCGCTCGACAGACTCAACAAAGCGAAGTTGGATATTGGAGTTATTGATAATGATGAATGATGATCATCTGGAATATCACTCTTGAACGGGCGTGGGGATTCCCGTCGCGGGATCGCCCCCAGGAAAATTTCCAGTTGAGGTGATCGCGACCGTATCCAGTGCGACCTTGCTCCGAGTGAGCGGATCCCACGATACCAAGAGTCGACATCGATACGGAAAATGGATTATCACCTCAAACCCGGGACAGATTCCCAGACGATTAGTCAGCTCTCCTGTGATCGATTACTCTAATTCCGGCGAATTGAATTGCTTAGGCCCACGACACACTCACGCTGGGTATCTTGAGTTCCACCGGGAGCGCGTCTTGCGACTAAAACACGCTGTCGAAGCTCCAAAGGGCTGGCAAACGATTGAACTTCGGCTCTCATTTTGCCGGATTCGAGGCACATCGGGACGCAATAACTTGCGTTGTCGGGGGAATTTCCAGCCTTTCTGCTCGAAGAGTTTGATCGAATCGTTTCTGAAGGATCGACCGACTCATGCCCGAAACTCGAGGGATGTGCGGCAGAGGAAAGTGCTCGACTGATTTACTACCGCGGGGCAAGACTAGATTGCGGTTTGAGAAAAAGCAGGCAACATGTGCTCTCGTCCGGCGAACTGCGAACGGCGTCTGGTTCAATATGGAGGCGACCGGATCTCAACGGCAAACTCAGAGAGAATTCGTTCAGGAGAACGATGTCTATCGCCTTGACGCAGTTCGAGATCGAGAGCTCATGGGAAACATCGCAATGAGCGGGGCGTTCTGCGCTGATCTCGATAGAAGTCGAGTTCAGTTCACATTAGTCTAGAATGAAGTGAAACCGAGTGATCGGACTGCTTCTGCGAGACGCCAGAGGAGTGACAGGAGTCGAGCCTCGAGTAATTTAACCTCATTGCTTATCACAACAATCGTGGAATGTCAAAACGGAGTGATTTCCGAGACTCCCCATGATCTGTCCCAGGAGTTCGTTTCAACAGGTCTAATCGGGTTCGAGAGCTTAGCGGGATACTCATTGCAGACGGTGGATCCGGAAATGGAATACAAGCCCTCGCTGAGGAGTTCTTATGGGTGGCCCGCCGCCTGTTTCACCTGATTGATCTGGCGCGGAACCTCTGGCATGGGGACAGCATAGCCGAACACTGCGGCATAGGTTATGAACTACAAGATCTGCTTCGTGGACTCGGGACGGGGCATTCTCTCCTTGCTGCTCGTTCAAAGCCCACGATAAGAGCTTTTGGCAGTACAGGCTAGTGGCGCTCATATCGAACACGACCTGGCCCCATGGAACCGGACGGAGAAATAGAAGCGACCAGGGAGATTGGATTCTTCTTGAAGTCTGAGGGATGCTTATACGAGATCCCTAGAGACGGCCGAAGTTCTGCCGCGCGCCGAGTCGGAGACCCGAATGTGACCAATTCCACTACTACATACATTACACCGTCGACCGTTCATTTCATCATGTCAAATCTAATTTACTCCGTAATAGTGCGACTGGTTCGACGCTTCCGAGCGAATGGAGGGACCATATTTTTGGCGATGCCTTGCTGATGGATGTTGTCCGACGGAGTTTCTCAACTGAGCCTAGCTGGGAAAAGCGAGAAGAGATTGCATCTTGGGCTGCCCCCATTTCGTGACTTTTTCGTAGAAGTCGGAGTTCCTTCCGATCTTATCCGAGGAGCCACGTTCAGCTTTCGGGGCTTTCGGAGCCCTGAGACCTCCTACAGGATA